AGGTGCTAGTGACAGAAATGTCTCCACTATTGGAACATATTGATACAGACCTGGATGGGAATGATAGACAAACTCATTTAATGAAGCTCTTTTAGCTTAACTTGGAAGGTTATGAAACTGAACGTTCGAAGGAACTTTTATTTGAACAGTGTACTGTTGGGTAGTTTTTCTGGTTCAGATCACTGAATGTATTAACCTCATGTCATTCTCGCTATTTAAGCATTACAAATATTCCTATATGATATACAGAATGTTCTTTATTATTTTATCAGATTACAAATTGCTGGTACTTTACCAATGAGTTTCTTATGTCTATTATGAAGTAATCAGAATAAGACTTTTGTAGAGAGAATTTTTTCATCAAGTTGGGAATCTTACTTTGAATTGTAAGAAGAGTAACATAGTGCTCATATAAACAATTATTAAAAAGGCCATTTTCCCCACAGGCAAAATTTATCTTGGGACTCTTTCTCCATGATTACTTCTTCCGGACAGATGGTTCCTAAGTCAATGATGTAGAAATTTTGCAGATACTCTCTTTTCTCTGTGTAATGTATTGTCTTCTCAATGAAGTTTTTATCATGTAATCATCCTATCTGAAACATAATTCGTACAAGGAACCCAAATATTGTGTTTTATTTGTACTTTTCCCTTCTTTTAATTTCTTCTACCATATTTTTATTACCAGAAAAAATAGAATATACAGAATTAGCAATGCAAGAAGACCTTTAGATTGATAGTCCTAGAAGCCCTCCATCTGAAAATGTGGTCTGAAAAAAGTAAAATATAATAGTAATGTAACAAGTGGAAGACCTTCAGTGTCAAAGTTTCCCCAAAACCTCAGTAATTCTACAATGTAACCTTTGTTCTGAGGTATTTTTTATGCTGGGAAATTTTCTTTCACATTCACACACAAAGCCTGCATATTACCATGTCTGTGTCTATAGGAGTAGATTTCTGTATCATAAGATAAAAGGAAGCCATTAGAACTATCAATTGATATTGAAGGTCATAAAAGAGGAACAAAATGTTAGTTTTTTAGAGAATTCTAGAGCTGAACTAAGGACTATCTTCAGGGCTGAATTAACTGTAAATTGAAGTCTAACATAATTTAAGAACATCAGGCTGCAGAAAGTTTGGTTATTTTTGTTGTAAAAGTTTATTATCAGCAAATACAAGTGCTTGATGCAATTATTTAGGCATGGTGCCAGAATTGATTGATCCTGGTGCCAACTACCTAATATTTCAAAAGGCAATTGGATTTTGTTTTTCCTTGAAGATGTTTTGCTTCTCATCCAAGAAGCTTCTTCAGCTCTGTTCAAAATCCAGTTGCCTTTTGAAAAAGCACCTTTGACCTGGATGACTGAGAATCTCCATAAATGTTGCAAGGGAAGGCTTACTGATCTATTTCAGGCAGTTAAATGTTTTTGCTTAGCCTGGATGGGTACTGTCAATGTTAGCATGAGCTATTACTGTTCAGGAGTTGCCACCTGAGGACTGTTTCTAGGACATTCTTTGCTTGTCTTCTGATTTTTAGTCTGTTTTGATAGCATAAATGACTAAGACATCAGCTTCTCCAGTCAGTTACCACAACACTCTACCTGCACAGTTGGATCTTTCTTATTCAATTGGGGTGGCCATTCACGTCTTGTTGTCTACTGCAAAAAAGATTGTGAGGCTGACACTTCTTCTTCCTATTCCCTACCAAAGTGGAAAAGGCTAAATATCCATAATAGGACACCTGAGGTCAGCACCATCCATCCAAAGGAGGCAGGTCTTCTTCTCCATTTTAATCTTTTTGATTTTCTCTTCCCCACTTCCTGGTGAGACCATGGTGGCTGATGTCAAAAAGAAAAATGAGCCAGAGATGAAATGCCTTGAGAAGCTCTGGTCTCACAGGGTTTTTCTAGGATTTATCTCTATTTTGGAAATGGGAAAGGAAAATAAGTTTCCAGGAAATTCAGACAATACTTTGGCAAGAGTAAGTTAGTTTAATTCTGAACAGTCCTGCATTACTATAATAGTAGTTTTATAATTGTAGACAAAATAATTATTTATTTAAAATGTATGAAGTCTTTCTAAAAATATAAAACTGTACTCACATTTGTATGTGTAAACAGGAGCTACCTTATCCCTTCAGTAACCGTATCAGCTATATGTAGCTTTAGAAAGCAAAGTACAGAGAACACTATGTTGTTTTCAATTTTTATTACATTTATAAATGAATATAGATAAAATTGGTATATACTTTGTTAAATTTGTATTTGTTCCATTTATAAAATGTTCAAGCTTACTAAAATGCAAACAAATTTCATGAACTGATTCTTTGTATATGAGAAAGCAGAAAAAATTATTGCCTGCAATATGAACATTGAAGTTTTAAAATATTTATCTATGGAAATTATTTAAACAATAATAGTAAATAGTTTACTAGTAAACTAGTAAATAAGTCTATAGATTATTTCGATTTAATATTTAATAAATGTTGTCCTTGCTCATATTAAGATGAGCAATTCTTAAAACATGAACTCTACATTTCATCAATTAAAAACATCTGGTAGGTTTGTCATACCTCATATTATTTCTGCATGTATTCAATATATATCTGCCTACATTCTTGTGGCCTACATTCCAGGGCCTGGTGGCTCAGCAGACTAAAAACATTGTGATTAACACCAGCTGTCTGCAATTACTATAAATTTGAATCTCACCAGGCTCAAGGTTGACTCAGCCTTCCATCCTTTCTGAGGTAGGTAAATTGAGGACCCAGTTTGTGGGGACAATAAGCTGACTTTGTATAAATATACAAAAGTATGAAGGTTATTGCTTAACGCATTGTAAGCCGCCCTGAGTCTCCGGAAAAGGGCAGCATATAAATCAAATTAAAAAAAAAAAAATCCAAGTCAACAAAATCAAGAAAATACATGTTAATTGTTTTTAGATATATTTTTCCAGAGAAAGAGCTACATAGATTGATAATTCGGGATGGCTTGGACTCCGATTGGATGAGTCCACGGGAGGAGACCGGGGCAGGTCTTGAGAATGTTATCTGGGAGGAGTTTGATCCTGTGACTCCCGAGGATGTGGACAGGGTCCTGGGTAAGATTAGTGCTGCCATGTGTTTATTGGACCCGTGTCCCTCCTGGTTGGTACTGGCCTCCCGGGAGGTTACACGAGGCTGGCTCCAGGGGATTATAGGTGCTTCTCTGGGTGAGGGTGCCTTTCCTGCTGCCTTGAAAGAGGCAGTAGTGAGGCCCCTCCTCAAGAGGCCTTCCCTGGACCCGGCTGAATTAGCCAACTATCGTCCAGTCTCCAACCTTCGTTTTGTGGTGAAGGTTGTTGAGAGCGTGGTGGCACGACAACTTCCCCGGCACCTGGATGAAGCTATCTATCTAGACCCGTACCAGTCGGGCTTCAGGCAGGGGTACAGCACAGAAACGGCATTGGTCGCGTTGGTGGATGATCTCTGGAGGGCTCGGGACAGGGGTTGTTCCTCTGTCCTGGTCCTGTTAGACCTCTCAGCGGCTTTTGATACCATCGACCATGGTATCATGCTGCAGCGGTTGAGGGGGTTAGGAATAGGGGGCACCGTTTTGCGGTGGTTCTCCTCCTTCCTCTCCGACCGCTTGCAGTTCGTGTTGGCAGGGGGGCAGAGGTCAACCTCGAGGCGTCTCGCATGGGGAGTGCCGCAAGGGTCGGTCCTCTCGCCCCTCCTGTTCAACATTTATGTGAAGCCGCTGGGTGAGATCATCCGTGGTTTTGGGGTGAAGTGTCATCTGTACGCTGACGATACTCAGCTGTACATCTCCACCCCAGACCACCCCAACGATGCCCTTGATGTGATGTCCCGCTGCCTGGAGGCCGTGCGAGTCTGGATGGGGAGGAACAAGCTCAGACTCAACCCCTCCAAGACCGAGTGGCTGTGGCTTCCGGCGCCCCGATATAGTCAGCAGGTGCCATCGCTGACTATTGGGGGTGAATCTTTGCCACCCACAGAGAGGGCTCGCAATCTGGTTGTCCTCCTGGACGCACGGCTGTCTTTAGAAGAGCACATGACGGCCGTGGCCAGGGGGGCCTTTTATCAGGTTCGCCTGATTCGCCAGTTGCAGCCCTTTCTGGACTGGGACGCCTTGCGCACGGTCACTCATGCCCTTGTCACCTCCCGGTTGGACTATTGTAATGCTCTCTACATGGGGCTCCCCTTGAAGAGCACTCGGAGGCTCCAGCTGGTCCAGAATGCGGCAGCGCGGGTGGTTATGGGCGCAACCCGTTATGCCCATGTGACACCCCTCCTGCGCGAGCTGCACTGGCTCCCGGTGGTCTTCCGGGTGCGATTCAAGGTGTTGGTTACCACCTTTAAAGCGCTCCATGGCATAGGACCCGGGTACCTCCGAGACCGTCTTCTGCCACCAATAGCCTCCCACCGACCAGTTCGTTCCCAGAGAGGGCCTCCTCAGGGTGCCATCAGCCAAGTTATGTCGGCTGGCGACGCCCAGGGGGAGGGCCTTCTCTGTGGGAGCCCCAGCCCTGTGGAATGAACTGCCCCCAGAAAGTCGTAAGATCTCCGACCTCCGGGTGTTTCGCTGCGCATTGAAGACCCTGTTGTTCCGCCAGGCCGGACTATCAACACAATAGTTTTAAATTGGGGTATTTAAATTTATTGGGGTTTTAAATTTGAGCCACTTATTTAATTATTTTAAATTTTATATCATTGTTTTGTTTGTGTTTTTAAATAGGCTGTACACCGCCCTGAGTCCTTCAGGAGAAGGGCGGTATAGAAATAAAATTATTATTATTATTATTATTATTATTATAATTGAAGTTTTGTGTTCTTATCACTGTGAAAGTCACAGTTTAATGAAAAAATATATTATTTCTCAAGTGAGGTTTGATGTTAAAGTATCATTGAAGTATAGCCACTGAAGAGTAGTATTTTTTCTCTGAAATCAAGCATATATAGCATGTGCAGCAATGTTGTTGGAATAAAAGAAAGTCTGGTCTTCCAAAAAGCTGTTTATTTACAACCCATTGTCAAAAGGCAGCTTGGTATATCAGTACAAAAATAGTCAAAACTGAAGCATGCAGAGAAATGGATGCTTGTCTTTCTATCAAGTTCACACACACAAAAAATCCCCCTTTCCCATTTTCACTTCCTTACGGAGATATCTAGCATTGGGCTCTTCTGTGGGTGGGTATAGGGCACAATTTGGTTTACTAATGAACCTGTTGATACTTTTCTCTACACTAATAATTCCATAGCTACATGAGATCAGTTTTCATTAGTCAAATTTTGTTAATGTTAATTAATAACCCCTAGTTTATCACTCTGTTGTAATTCTAGAAGAGGATGCATACACAACCACGTACTCATATACAACCTTTATCTTTTACACAAATAGTTTTCTATATTGTTAAGCTACTGTCCCTTAACAGCCACATCATAGAAATTTGGCAGATTGTGGATAATGTGCACCAAGGACTTTCTTGGTGCACAATTACAGCAGCAGCCAAGTAGGTTCTCAAAATGCTCTGGTAACTGCCAAAGATAAATGGATATGGGGCTTACTGGCATTTGGGGAAGGCTGAACTGTTCATTTCTACATATTGTTCTTGTAAGGGAACAATACTATTTACATAAGATATCCCCTCCTTAATGTATTGCTTCTATGATGAAACCACATTTATTCAAAACCACAATGTATTTGTAACTTTTTCCATAAAGGTTATTTTTGATACAACACATTCAAACTAAGGTGGTGTTTTAGGTAGAGTACCTGTTCTTCAGACTCACACACTCCTGGCTGATAGTCACTATGGTGCGCATTGGAAGAGACTTATTATCGCCAGCCTGCTACAAAGAGTGTGAAAAGGAGCACCGGGAGTCCTTACTACTACAGAATATGTAATAAAATATAAGATTATGCTATAGTGATTAGTATAGCTTTATAAGAGCATTGGAGAAAATACTGGGAGACACATCTATCAGGAATTATTCATCCCCAAGGTTCAGTATTACTTCCATATATCAGTTCTTGGTGAGTAATAGTGGGAGGACTATGTATCTCCAATCAGAGCTATCTGACTGGCCACTGAAACAAACAAATGCTGGACTGTGGGCCTTGGTCTGAATAGGTTCTCTAGTTTTAATTCCATTGCCACTGGGCTTGAGCCACAACTTTCCCAAGTCTTTTGGGTGATCTGGCAAGCTGAGAATGGAATCAAGGAAGTAACCAATGCTTGAGAGGCAATAATGTTGCCTGCCTTGATAAATGCAGTAGTGGATCTTGTCTTGAATATACCTGAACCAAGTTATGCTTGATAAATTTTATCTTGTTTTCAACTTTTTAGGGAAGCTTATTAAGGTGACAGCAAATCAACTCGAGAGGATCTTGGAAGAAATGTATTATCTGGGCCTTTTGCCGATCAAGATTCATTTAGTTCTGATGAACCCTAGACTGGTTGAGTGAACTTCCTGGATCCTATTAATTCTTCAGCAGCAATTGATACAATGAAACATGGTGTCCCTCTGGACCAGTATAGGATTGCAAATCCCGTCGCTATCAGTTTGCTTGTGGGTGCATGCGTGTGTGACGCTTCTGTGCATGCACAGAAGCATCCATGCAGGTGGGCAGAGCCTCCTGCTGCCACAGCTACAGGTTCGCCCGAACCAGGGTGAATCAGTAGCAACCCATCACTGTTCTGGACCATCTACAAGGGTTGGGAACTGGAGATTCCATTGCTGTGCTCCTATCTGAACTGCAATTTTAGTCAGAGATCATAGAGAAAGTGCTCAAGTTCATGGAATCCCAATATGAGGTCTGAGTGCTCTCACCTAGAAATTGTTAAATTTCTACATAATACTACTGGAAAATATCACTTCAGGATCAATTTTCATCAGTACTTTGATTACTTTTAATTTGCATCATCACCCCAGGAGCTGGAGATACCATTAAAGTTCTGAACTTGTCTAGAGACTGTAAGGGTCTGGATGGAGACAGAAACAAGTTGACAGACAGAAACAAGTTGAGATTAAATCCTACAAGACAGAGTTACTAGTCATGAGTAAATATCCAGCCAATCTGCTAATATTAGTCCTGGTATTGATTCAGGTTTTTATATTCTTCCACCAAGGGATGTTTTTGAACTGTAGTCATCCCTGCTTCAAACATCAGGTGGATGCTATGACAGGGACTTTAGTTTATGTTTACAACTCTACATGACTAGAGTGGACTGACATAAGTAACACACCTAATTACTGCAGCTGGATTCTACTACATACTCTTATGTGAGGCTACCTTTGAGACAATAAGAAAAGTGCAGTTGGTATATAGCAGTTAAAAGCAACACTGTTTTTAATATTGCTGCACTGGTTATCAGTGGATTCTTCACTCAAGTCAGAGGGCTCCCTATTAGTGGTAAAGTTATTTTAAATGTAGTATAAAGGATAAATCAAATAATGGTGTGTTAAAATTGAATTTACTTGCTCAGCCAGTTAGTGGGAAAGATTGTGGGGAGTGGATTTAACAAGAGACAGAGGGTCTCTTGGCAGTTTATTTTATAAACAGCAATTCAGCTAAGATAGCAAGAAACCTAAGAAAAGGAATTTCAAATCATTCAGATTCCATCTTAATGAATTCAGTTTAAATAATGGCAAAAAATTCCTGTTTCCAAAATTCTGCATTTATCCTAAAATTCACATTAATGATATCTTAATTAATGAAATCTATATAGTTTTTGCTCTTTGATATTACCCAAGTCAGTGAGCATGACAGTTATCCAGAGAAGGCTGTTGAGAATATCATACCTTCATATGGAACAAATACGTGGGGGATGGATTAGATAGCAAACCTTCTCTGCAGTGGCCTTCCGTTTCTGGAATACCACTCCTCTCCTGAGACATCATGGCTCTTTATCTAGTAGTCTTTCATAAACAACTACAAACTGTGTTTTTCAACAAGCCTATAGTTCCAGTTAATTAAGAGATGGTGCATATTATGGTAATTTGAAGGTTTGTATTTTGCTGTCTCCTTTTTTAAAAAAGCTGCAGTTTTTCTTTGTTAAAACACAAAACCAGTAGTTTACATTTTGTATTTAGTCAGAAGAATCAAAGAGTCCAGATTCAATAGAAGCTTTCAACAAGCATTCCTGATACCCAAATGCATGTCTACCATCTTCATGTGCAGTCTTAAATTTGATAGATTATTCACTACTTTCAAATATCACTTATTTGCCCAAATAAATATAGTTTTTTTCACCACATCAATTCATCTTTGAATTGAAGTAGCTGCTGGTAAGCAATAAATTATTAAAGCATAAAGCATGAAGTTTTCAGAACAGGTGTCCTTTCTGTCCAATTGTTGCCACGCTATTCAAGAAGAGCATGATTTCTTCAATGATTATCAGCATTTAACTAATTTTTTGCTTTCTGTAAGTGGTGAGATTTCTTCGCCACACATGAACTGTTCCTGAAATTAAAAAAAAATAACAATCATATATTAACATATGTATTATAAATACACACATATACTATATATGTATTAATATAAGGCTGGTATTAATTAAATATCAACATCCAAATAATGAATCATTTATTTTAATAGCAAAAAATAATTTCCTGATAAAAATATTGTTATACAAACAAGATCTCTGAAAAAGAGACCACTTAATACCATGGGAAAACAAACCAGTTCAGTGTTATAAAGGCACAAGCAGCAAACTGCCCCAATATTATTTCTACTAAAATTCTTTTGTGCATCATCATCATCTTCTCTACCAACCTCTTACAGTATTTCATAACTATCAAGTGATGACAGGTGAAATCATTCAAATAGGTTTGAAGCAGATAAGATTATTATTCTGAATAATTATTCACTGAATGTCTTGACTGGACTATATTGAATCTATAATTAACAAATTATAACTGTATATACATATCAAAACAATCAATTAGGTAGATGGGACTCTAGGGATTTATGCAATATTTGCTAAGCCTTCTTCATTGCTAACTTCAGACTGTAAGCTCAAGTCATTTCACTTCAGACTATACTGACTAGGATAAATATGTATTTTCTTTAATACCTCAGTTATTCCATCAATGCTTTAAAGAATGCAACCATTTTCTGCTTTGATATCATTCTATTAGGATCTACTCTCCATCAAAAGACACAGAAACTGTTGACCTATCTTTGCTTTATCTTTCTATTGTACAAGATGATTCATCTACTATAGATATGACAGCTGAACTATTCAGATCCTTCACAGATTGACTGAAAACAAATTTTGAGGGACTGTTCTTGGTTTCTTGGAATACTAATGGGTAAGAAGCCAAGATGGGCAATTCCTCTTTCTTGAACCTAATTCATCCGATTTAACCATGCTATTGCAGACATGGTTTTAAGAGAAGCTGGTCCTTCAAGCTTTTCAGCAGAATTAATGAAAGTCTGCTATACACTCTTTAGAAGCCACATTGAGAGCATCCTGAGCCAGGCTTATGGAATCTTTGCATCCTGTTTATAAACAATTTTGTGTTAAAATCACTCAGCTTCAATCAAATGAGAATCTGACTTTCTATTATTTTACCAATCAAAATCTCTTACCTGGCAATGTTTATCTTCCTTCTTCCTGCTTTCTTTAACCAACATACTTTAGATTAAGTTGCAACATTTCATTCCATCACTTGGAAACACACAAACGCAGCCCTAATTGTTACAGGTATTTAATGCCAGAATTGGCTCCACTGATGCAATGCTTTTCTCCTGCTTTGGAAAATACCTCTCTCCCTCTAAGGGATATTTGGATAGTAAGGTGAGACACCACAGGAACTTGGGAATGAACATAGCAAATCAAAGCTTAACACAGCTTGCTAGGGATCGTTAGCTCTGCATATTAAATAGTGTAATGAAAAGTAATTCAGGAGAACTCACATATTGGGGAACACAATAATCAATTATATTGTGACCTCACAGCATTTATTTAATGAAGTGCTCATTTTTATAGTTGATCTCTGACCAGACAATGAGCCCTGCTCCTTATTATTCTACTTTGATTATAACGGTCATCTATCCAAATTAGTTAACATTAGATGTTCAAGAAACAGTGTGTGGAGTTCAAATCATTCACAAAACTAAATGAACTGCAAAACAAGCACAATACTTCTGCTAATCAAGAATGAATTCTCCAACATCTATCAACCACAGATCCAACAGACCCAGCAAAAAATATATTTTATGGCTCATTGTATTTGGCCAGTTATTATATATCATTTAAATGTTGTGGCTATATGATAAACTAGCTGGATACCCGTGCTTTGCTACGAAACTATGTGATTGGGCTTGATAAAGTGACACTTAAATCTTGAAAATTAATGAGTAGTTAAAAAAGGCACTGTATTATTTTGTTAGAGATGGTATGCTAAGTTTCTGCTACATAATAAGACATTATTGTAAATCTAACAACAATAAAACAATAACAAGAGCCTTGTTGGCGCACCAGACTAAAGCACTGTTAAATAACACCAGCTGCCTGCAATTACTGCAAGTCCAAATCTCACTAGGCTCAAGGTTGACTCAGCCTTCCATCCTTTCGAGGTAGGTAAAATGAGGACCCGGTTTGTGGGGGAAATAAACTGATTTTGTATAAAAAAGAACACCACTTGGGAGGGCCCGAAAGCTCTACCCAGCAGGTACATACAAAAGTATGAAGGCTATTGCGTAACACATTGTAAGCTGCCCTGAGTCTCCAGAAAAGGCGGCATATAAATCGAACCAATAAAGAATAAATAAATAAATAAAATAGATGGGTTTAAGTCCTTTAATCCCACCAGCAACTGTGGCTTTTTTGTCTACGTAGCCAGGCTAATAACTTGCATAGCATAGACTTTTAATTCGTCCTTCAGATGAATTGCTCAGGACCTCCCTGTAAACAACATTCCTGGTTTTGCTCTCTGGCTGGAGGATGACCAGGCTGTCAGGTGAACTGGAGCACGCCACATACAACTGGCCATGGGAGAAACAATCACATCTCAGAAGCACATCAGCCACTTTCAGAGTCTGTCCCTGTGCCTTATTAATGGTGATGGCGTAGATGGAGTGAGAATAGCTCTTTCCCTCAGCCATGAAGCACAATCCACTCCAGCCTGATGAATGTTGGGGTATATTCTGTAAATCAAGCTGATCAAATCTCTCACAACATCGCAATGATTACTTGGAATAGTTCTTTTCCCTCCTCTTCCAAAAGCTTGCCATCACCAATATCAAGTAATAAGTTAGAAAACTCTTCTGCCCTCAAATCATGTTGAAAGTGGACACGCATGTTAACTCTCAAGGACAGGACTTTGACATTAGGCCATAAAGATGAATGACTTGAGACAGGCCTTGACTTCATCTGTATATGTTCCTCATGGCACAACAGGCAACGTATATCTGAAGTCACCAGTCAAAAGCACCATAACTTCACCCATAAGATGATTGCTGTCCCTAATACCCTGAAGCATCCTATTTAGAGCCTCAGTACCTCCTTTGTGAGTCATGATGCACTCATCCCACACAATAACTTTGGCTTCTCGAAGCACCTGAGCCATGTCACTCTCCTTAGAGATGTTACAAAGTGCACTCAGAATGATTCAGGTTGAGAGATAATTTGAAGGCAGAGTGAGCATCTTGCCTCCGTCGAACAAGGTAGCTGCAATTCCTGAGGAAGCAACAGCAAAGGCTTCCTTCCGCCCCCAATTTTGGCCAGCAACACATTGATCAAGAACGTTTTGCCAGTGCCACCAGGAGCGTCAAGAAAGAACTGCCCAGAATCAGAAGCAATACTCTGCATGATTTCATCATAGGCTTTCCTCTGTTCTTGATTTAATTTTGGAACATTCACAGCAAGTGGTTCTGTCAGCTGAACGTTATTATAAGACAGTTCACTCAGATATTGACAGTTGCTGACAATGGCTCCTTGCTCTCATGAAGGTGGTGGAAATCTGAAGTGTAGGATTGTTTTACCCAACATGAATGTAACAATGTCCTCAAGAAGGATAAGGCATTGGTTGTAAACAATTTGGAGAACCAGTTGGGCATCTCCACAATCTCTCTCCATTAGCTGTGTAACATCTTCCACAAGACTGCCTCTGTATTTCTCCCACAATTTTAGGGGGTCTTCAACTTGGCAGAAAACCAACTTGATGGCAAACAGCTCACAGATTTTGTTAGGAAAGTCAGAGATGGAGGCTTCTTCCAGAGTGCGGTCCCAATGAGCATCATCTTCCAGCAAGCCAAGTGCACTGCATGCTGCTTTAAATGTTGGTTGAAGGACCCCTGCCACAGTTTTTAGGGCAGTAAATGACATGGGGCCACGGATCTCGTGCAAGAGGAGGCATAGGTAGTAGAACTCATCATTACCGGGATGGACAGTGTACACTCTACCCAAAACCTAATCTTTCTTCACATCCGGATAACCTGGTACAGGCTTTCCTTGTTTCCTCCTGCACAACTAGTTGCCTTTCCATATGTAGTAAATTGGAACTTTGCAATATAAAAGGATCCTTGTAAAAGCATCAACTTTGCACAGTTCAAAAAAGGCCAGAAGTGTTGTTTTTGGAGAGTTATTGATCCTCTCAATAACATTGTCCTCAGTAAAATAAACTCTCTGGCCATTTCCGAGATATACAGCAAGGTGCATAACAGGAGAAAACCTTTCGTGAATAGAGAAGCAGAGAATGCACCAGGATGCTTCAGAGCTGCTGATGTATCGTCCTGCTTCGTACCTTGTCCAGATCTTCAATGGTGAATGATGCCTGGTCAGACCCTTTGTTAATATACTTGCAGATGTATTTTATGGATTTAAAGGAGCCCCAGACCGCTCCTGAGTGAAGGAGTGGAACGTCTGCCAGTTTGAACTGAGGTAATGCAATGTGAGGCAACTGGCAATTGGAACAGAGTTCTTTTCAGGAGGAGAGGGGTTAATATAAGGCAACTGGCAGTTGAAACAGACTTCTTTTCAGGTGGGGAGGGGCAGTAGAATGTCTAACTCCTTAGCATCAGAGCATGTGAATATAATACTGTATATGAAATACTAATTATCTGATGATCATTTCGAAAAATCCTTTCTTAGCGAGTACCTAGAAGCCAAGAGACATACGTGCCAAATTTCAAGTTTGTAGGCTTTACCATTCTGGAGATTTCGTGATGAGTGAGTGGTATTTGGCTTTTATATATATAGATAAATAAATTTATATGCCACCTAACTCCCAATGACTCTGGATGATCTTTGCTGGTTACTGATCTTGAATAAATAAAATGTCACCATCTGTGAAAACAGTCTAAAACAAGTACAACATCCACCCCTGCTCATTCCTCACCTTGTCGTAGATCACTTTGACTATAAGTGAACAACTTGGGCAGGTCGCCACATCTTCCCCATTCTCCAGATCTTCCTGCAATAATACATAAGAATTTGACCCCTTAATAAAGCATGCTATTTAATGTGTAAAAAGATGGCAAAATCCAAGTCCTGTCTGCTAGATACTTTTGAAATAACACAACACTTCTCACAACTGTATGGGATCTCAATTCACTGAACACTTCCTGTTAAAATTTGAATAGGTAGAATATCAGGGTATATCCAAAGCTGTATTTGGATCCAGATCCAACTGTCCATAAGCTAATTTTTCTGCCAAAAAGCAATGTTTTATTCACCTTAAAATCTAAGTATTTTGATTTCTAAAGATGTCTTCTATGAATCTGCACAATATTACAACTGGTTGAGCACTCAAGAAAGAGTGAGAAAAGAAATGTTAATTTATTATATATAATCTCAATCTCAATTTTGTTTTGGATTTCTCAAGAGAAAAAAACTCCAAACAAAATTCCACTAAATTTTCCCCTAAAGGCCATGAGCTCAGCTCAATAATCCACTTATTGACAAATTCTGCACTGCTTTAGGTGGCAGATATCCTTCAGAGTATTTTGTTTGAGTGATTCTCAATATTATCTTCTCTGAAAAAAGGTTTCTTGCTGGTCATACTTACCATGATAATGTCCAATAAAGGCTGTCATAACATATTTATATAGGTTTGATTTAAAAGTTTAATTCTAAAAAACAGTTAAAAACTTAATTCTTTCTACCATCTGAGATCTCAGCAGTTCAGATATTTAGACACTTTTCTAAGTTTAGCTCAGGGCATATGTTCATCAGAAGGGAACTAATAATAGATCTCAAATTGCTATGATCAGAAATGAATTTTTATCTTTTCAACCATAGCCATACAAATTATTTCCCAAAATCATAGTGCTGAAATCCACAGCTTGGGTAAATGTGGCCATTTCCTTGGATGGACTCAACCATCTTTCAACTTGGAAAAGAGCATTAAATACCACAATAGTTCCCTTAAGGCTGAAGAATGTCTATCCTTGCCTCAGGAACATCAAGTCTACATTACTTAATGCTGTATTAAATGATTTAATGTTGTGCTAAGATTCAACTTCAGGTCATGACTTTTAAACCAAGGTTAGGATGGATTGCTTCAGTCCATCCAAAGCTTCTCAGGCTTATCAATCTTTTTTCTTTTAAATTTAATAAGATTATATCTGGTCTGCCTCGCCCTATTATCAGAGCACCAAGTTGCCACTGGCTATGTTTGAACATCTCTCTCAGTTGCAATGAATTATTAAAATATTTTATAATTCACCTTGACTGAACACAGAAGACACATCAGCCCCTCCCCAACTGGGCACTTTCTAGATATACTGGATACAACCTCCCCAATCCTAATCCAGGAGTGCTTGGAGTCCAAACATGTTTGGAAAGCGCTAAAGCAATGTTTATCAAACTTGGCCTGCTGGCTATTTGGGGAGTTGAAATCCATCCATCTTAAAGTTGCTCATTTGAAAAACAATGCTTCTGAGTCTAACTTGAGGAAGACGGAAAGGCAATAGGCTTGATGGCTGCCTATATTCGCTTTTCTATTTTCCCACATGACGAGCAGTCAAGAACAATCTGTATTTTGAGGCTGTATTCTAAGGTGAGATATGTTCAAGTAAACATGCAATGTCTCTTGTACATAGAAATGAGTGGCTCGCTTATCCTCTTACCCGCGTAATAAGGAAGCGGTCTCCACAGGGGCACGGATAGCTGTAGATCTCGGTATCCTCATCGTACTCGAAGTCCTCTATCTCCACTTCGTCGTGGAAAACGGACATGTCGCAGCGCGATTCTCTGTCCCTCCCCGTCAAATGTAGCCAGCGCCGCGTGTCCAGGAAAACCGGCAATGGCACTAAAAAACAAAAAAAAAAAAAAAAAGTCTAAACCTTCAGCATCACCTTATTTGTTCCGAATTGAAGCCACGAATAATTTCTAACCAATAAGCATTCAAGATAATGAGATTTGACAACATCTCTCGTGGAATGATATCCAATAAGAAAGAGCGAGGTAGAACTCGTACTAAAGATAAAAAAAATATAGAGCTGTAAAACGACGCAAAGAAAGAAACCCTGTATCCGTTGCTTATGGATTCGAAGGGCGGTGTCATTCCGTCAAAAAAAAAAAAAAAAGTAAGTGACCAATGAGACTCCAGGTTGAAGAGGGCGGATAACGTTCTTGCTGGGGCGAGAGGGGAGGGGGAGGGGACGAGCAGCAAACCAGAACTCTGGTTTACGTAATAACAAACGATTCCTATAATCCGACCCCTAAATTATAGAACTAGAAACTAAAGAGGCGTTTTCTTCATCCTCGGCAATTTTACGATATGTGGACCTCAACTTTCACAATTTCTTAGCCAACAATTCTGGAGTTGAAGTCCACATAATTTAAAGTTGCCGAGATGAAGAATCAATGATATGCATTTTCTTCCTTTTCTTGAAACTAAAAGCTGCTGTTTTTCACTTCCATGTCTGACGGTCTTCCCCCCCCCCCCGATCATTACTATTGAGCCCACAGTAATGTAGCTCTGACCTTGTCTCCTCTGTAGAAACGGTCCCATTTATTCGCTTGTCTTAAGAGTTAGGCATAAAAAGCATGAAATAAGTTTCTTTTAAAAAAAAAGGGGGGGGGACACATAGACCGGCAAAAGCACGAATTATGTAAACCGGAAGTGCCCGAATCAGAGATGGAACGGTGCGTCGTTTTTTAGGGACCGTTTTCGCTGAATTTCTCCGGATGCCGGTTATTTCCTTACGACTTTGAGGAAGAGGCTGGAGTGTTATTGCTGGCTTCTAAATGAAGTACGGTAGTTAGGCTGGAATTTAGCTGGAAGGAGCGACGTTCAAAGGAAGCGCTGGAGAAATAAATGCCATCTGTCAAAGCCCCCGGTGCTGAAGAGAAAAGGGAGATCATCTGTCTAAAATAAGGCTTAATCCATAATGAAGAATTGAGGGTTCACGGTCAAAAACAGAAGCTGGACCCCGTTAAGTAAAATCTGCTTATGAAATGAATACCCTGTTGGGCAAGTCTCGCCCTGTGAGGTGAGTCGGACGAAGGATGGATGGACAGGCCCAGAGGCAGCCCGGATCTGTTCCAGTTCTTCGAGCCTTCTGACAGTTTGAGGCGACTTTTCTGTGTACTGGACTGCAGATCCAATCATCCTCAGGCAGCAGTGGCTTAAGAAAGCCCAATTAATCTGTTTATAGTCTAATTACCTGTCTGGTTTTTCATTCATTCCTTTCCAAAAGAATCAGCTAAGCTATGAAGGTGAAAGCCATTCTCTGCTCCATTTAATGCAGCTCTTCCAGGGAGTCTTATCCTTTTCAAAATTTCTGTTTAGATTTTGGTCTTAAAATAGAATTGCCAATGCTAGAAGGACTCTTTTAAAATTAGCAACAGGGAAGTTATGTATTAACCAAATGTAACTGGGAAAAAATGTTACCATTATATTAGCAGATTTGTAGAATTTGTATCATTTGTTCTAATGTAGGATGAAGAAATTACCACTGATGTTCAGAAATGATTACCGGTACATTAATTTCCACTTGTTAATGAATATATTCAGATATATTGACTGTTTCCCTATGTTGTGTTGTACCTTATGATTCTTGACGAATGTATCTTTTCTTTTATGTACTCCGAGAGCGTATGCACCAAGACAAATTCCTTGTGTGTCCAATCACACTTGGCCAATAAAGAATTCTATTCTATTCTTTAAAAAAAATGGTTAGGCAGTCTGGTGCCTTCAGAATACTTCAGAATTCAACTTTTGTCAGTCATAATTAACAAGAATAGTACTGACTTTAAGACAGTGGCTATACAACATCCTAGATCGTATTTTGCCTAATTATGGTTAAAATCCAATTGACTGGGTTCCAGCAGTACAGTAAATCATTAACCATCATTTACCAATCACAATGGCTGAGCCTGCAGAGCATACTAAGTCACAAGCAAGCAAATTCCATTTTTGCTTAGTATATTGTGTAATCTAAGAATTGTTACACTGAAACAGGATTTTTGAAGTTGGTAGTTTTTAGAGTGGAAAGTATAAGGTTATTCTATGTATATCAAAATATCACTTTATTAGCCCTTTGTAATGGGAACAGTTGCAGCAGCACATAATTGACCAATAAAAACTAAGTTCCTGATTATTACATGAGAGGTCATCAGGAAATGCCAAAGCTGTAGAATAGATTGGGAATTCAAGAAAACAACCAGGAAGAAGGGAATGTTCCATGACTTAATTTATAATGGGAATCCAGACAAATTTATGGTTTTAAGAAGTCACATAGAAACCCAAATAGTATTGTTCCAATATTATTTGGTGTCAGAAGAATAAACATTGGGAAAGTTTTAATTGCTCAAAGTGGATGTTTGAAATGTTTTAGCACAAGAGATTTTAGGTGCCAGCAGATGTCACTATTGTTCATTACAAATAGTTAGTTACAGATACACAGGAAAAGGGAACAAATTCTTATTTGTATAGTACAGTACAGTTCTTATGTATTGCTATAATAAGCAAAGTGCTAAAATGATTACTATAATAATGTACATAATGTAATAAATTAATGTAATAAATTAAAATATTAGGAACTGTGGGGAACTTTAAAAGAGCCAGTTTACTCTAGTCATTAAGGCGCCAGGCTAGAACTCAGAAGACCATGAGTTTAAATCCAGTCTTAGCCATGAAAGCTTACCTGGGTGATCTTGGCACAGTCACACACACTCAACCCACCTCACAGGGTTGTTGTTGTGGGAAAAATAGGAGGAAAGTTTGTTGAATATGTTGCCACTTTGAGTTATTTGTAAAAATAATAAAGATGGGATATAAATAAATAAATAAAAAGAAGCTTACAATTAAATCTTCAGAGATCTTAATCTATTTCATCACAGATATGAAAGGAAATCTCAGTCAGGGTTCATTGGGACATGATTGTGTCATATCAGGACTAATAATATTACTAACTGGCCTACATCGTCCCTCTTTTTTAGTTTCTTTGGGTCTAATATTTGATGTTGATCCCCCCCCCCAACAAATAGCTTAGTAGTCAACAAATTGTAGTATGCCATGTATGACATGAATATTGTTTCCTGCTTGGGTGTCTTTGAAACAGCCACAGATTGAGAGGGATATGATCTTTATGATGTGAATAGTGGTTCATATATATTTCTATGATGTCAGCAGCAGTCCAGAAGTTCATTTATTTTCTGTGAAGCTTAGTGCCAAAGAAATACTTCTTGTGATACTTTGTGTGCTTGTTTACAACTGGGCTGTTTGACATTGTTTATTGAAAAACAGATGCAAATATTATTTTAATTTGCCTTTACAGGAATATTTAATATAAAAAAAATTATGATATATTCAACAGCTTTTGGTTTGCCTATATTAATGAAAAGTGCCAGTAGAATTCTTCCCTGCTGTTCTTCATACTTGTGCCTAAGACTGACAGCTATAAACTACTGTACAATAAATGGGTAAGTTATCAAATATTATTACTGTGAAAATGAAAATATTAACATAACACTGGTATTACTTTCCTTTAAAAATTGAATAAAGAATTAGTTGCTAACTGTCATCTTCTATAATGAAATGTTGATCAACAGGCTGATTTTAGGGCTATAATTTTAAATTAATTGATTTTTTTCAAGTTTATTAAAACAAATTATAAAGCAAATAATAGGATGTTGTATTAGTAAAAACACTGCAATGGAATTCCCATCTTCCTCTATAAATTGGAAGGAGACAAAGTTCTTAAACGGCAGCTAAAGGCACCAGTTTAACTGATTTGCAAAACAAAAGTGGCTTGACCTGATTCTGAAAAAAAAAATTGTTTGATGTCATTCAGACAATAGGGAAGATGTTGCAAAATGAATTGATCATAGCCTGATGTATCTTCTTTGAAGAGAAGATAGGGATGGGGATGGACGGACTGTTTTGTGTATTTTGGATCTGAGCATTCAAAGTGAGTGACAGTTTCTTTTTGTAATTAAATGGTTAGAATTCTGAATTAACTCTAGTTTATGCATCCTCTTCACAGCGGTCTTATTTTAAGTTGTAGCCTAGTAGTAGTAGCTTTCAGTAACGGCTATAGTTTATCAGCCAAAACTGATGTAACTATTATATTTTAATAGTAGAGCTATTATATTTTAACTGGTAGAACTATTATATTTTAAAATGTATATGATAAATTCATAGAAGGCAAAAAGTATTCTTGAGGATAATAATGTTTATTTGGGGGGTCTGCTTATGAAGATTGTGTGGATCGGGTACATCTTCTAAAAGTAAGTGGTTTTTCTTCCATCAGAACATTTTTTGGTCTTGTTCAGAATTATACAGCTCAGTTAATAAGCATGTATATTTAAAACAATCAAGTAAATTGTGGGGGTTTTTTTAGTACATGTAACTAGGTAGTATTATAGTGTTTGCTCACAAATTGTTATTTTTTAGTCCTGTTATAAGCGTATCTTGTTTGGAATGAAGCAGTTTTATTGAATTGTTTAGTACAGTTTTTCAGTATTTAAAGCATGATTAAATGGGAGATGAAGGTTCTGAAATTACTATGGGCAGACATAATAAATTACTTTCTGAGGTTAAAACATGGCACCATGTAATAAATATGATTAGTAACAGATTTACTGCTTAACAAAAGAGGTTTATAAGTAGTCCTTTACTTATGACCATTTGATTAATGATGGTTCAAAGTTACGATGGCCTCAGAAAAAGTAACATGACCTGGACTTATACTTAATGTCCTTTGCATCATCTCTGTGGACACTTGATTGCAGTTGGGATGCTTAATGATCAGCTCCCATTTACCACTGGTTACAGTATCCTTTGGTCATATGTTTGCAACTTTTTTTTCCCCAATTTGCTTAATGATCTCATAATTTATTTAAGACTACTGTAAAAATTGTGAAATAGAATCCAATTCAACTTATAACTACAATAATTAACAATGAAAATTCTAGTTCCAATTGTGGTTTTAACTTTACCACACAACTATTTGTATATGCAATGAAATGAGATGGTGAGATATATGGATATAGATTAGATTAAATTAGATATTAAATTAGATTAGATATAGAAAAGATATAGATATGTATATTGTTTGACTTTTCTTGATTCTTTTCTTCTTTGTTCTTATGATCCAGCCCATAATTGTACAAAGCAAAGACTACTTAAAAAATGAGTAATTAACTGAACAAGAACTAATATTAGGACTTATGATAATAAAATTATTAAAAAGTACCTAAGCTTGATTGAAGAATACAGATTTTCTCTTTTAACAACTCATTCTGCTTCATTAATATAAACTGGGTCAATAGGATTTGGTTTTTTTAAAAAAGATTCAGAAAATATAATGGATCGTCTTCAAGCCTTAATAATGCAATAAAGCCTTCTTGTTCAGAAGCAGTGCATTTCTAAGTATTAGATATTGGGCACCAGTGGTGGGTTTCAACATTTTTTACTACCGGTTCTGTGGGTGTGGCTTGGTGGGCGTGGCATGGTTGGTGGGTGTGGCTTGGTGGGCATGGCAGGGGAAGGATACTGTAAAATCTTCATTACCTCCCCAATCCAGGGGAAGGATACTGCAAAATCCCCATTTCCTCCCGATCAGCTGGGACTTGGGAGGCAGAGAATAGATGGGGGCGAAGCCAGTCAGAATTTTTACTACCGGTTCTCCGTACTACTCAAAATTTCCGCTACCGGTTCTCCAGAACTGGTCAGAACCTGTTGAAACCCACCTCTGCTGGGCACTAATTTAAACTCTCCAAATAATGCAACCAAATTGCTGTTGAAAACAGTAGGCAATTACATATTTTTTTGTCAGTTCAAGGGAAGGATAATGGTTAGAGATTAATCAATCTGAAGTTACTATTTAAAAGAGTGTTCAGTGACCAGTTCAAGCTGTACCATTATGTTGAGTAATGATACATCTCAATTTGCCTTATTTATAGCAAAATGAAATCTAGAAGAAAATCATCAGATCATCTGGAGAGAACAGCAAATGACTTTCGACATGAGGTTAGTATTGTAGTATATGAGCATGAAATGTGCTATATATGGTGAAGGTATTGGATAAATTTGGTAATAATTTGACCCTTCTGTATAATCATTTGTTTCCATCTTTAATCCTTTGCAACTTGCTCCACAGTCATCCATATCTTAATTACCTCCCTTTTGAATTACTGCAATGTCCTGTGCATGGAGCTGTCCTTAAAGACCATCTGGAAGCTGCAAGTGATGTAGAATGCAGTGGCATGCATAGTTTTGGGAATCCCACAATTTATCCAAGTAACCCCTCTGGGTGCACTGGTTTCCAGTTTCTTTCCAGGTACAATTCAGGGTGCTGCTAATCACCCTTAAAACCCACATAGCACAAGGCCAGATTACTGTGGGATCACATTTCTCTGTGGATATTTGCCTATCCTGTTACATTAGACAAGGTGGGTACGCTCCAGGTCCCCTCCATTAAATGTTGCTATCTGATAGGACCTTAGACTGTGTCTTCTTCATGGCCATCTCAGTCCTCTGGACAGTCTCCCACCGGAGATCAGAAGTGTCTCTACCCTTTTAGTCTTTTGAGCATCTGTGAAGACCTGGCTCTTCTCCCAAGCATTGGAATAAGATGAAGGTGAAGTTTAAGGGTCTTTAGTTTGGTACTTGAGGGAAGAATAGACAATGTTTTATGGGTTGTTGTGAGCCTTCTAGAGTCGGCTTACAAAATAAGTGCCATTGAAATTAAAAATGTAACTAAAATAAAGAACGAACTAGAACATTGTTATTTCCAGATGCTACAGGATGTAACACTACTGATTGTTTCACTTTCTATTTATTTATAAAATGTATTAGGCTACCATCTAACTATCAACAATCTGAATGGCAAACATAAAGTATACAGTAAAGCATTGACAATTGTAAAGCATAAGTTGAAAATCTCAAAGGACATTGTCACCTTACATCCATGCTAGGGCTCCAGGTCTAATAACTTGATTCCTTCTGAAGTACTGGCAAGGTTGGGGCCGTCTATATCTTTGGCGAGGGAGTGTATTGCAGCTCTTCTATAGCACAAGTGCCATGACAGAGAAAGTTCCTAGGACCCACCTAGTGACATTGCTTCACTAGTGGCACTCTTCACTTCAACTGGTGCATGCCCATTCTAACCAAGCTAATGGGATAAGTAGAAACCCTTAGGGAGAAGTCCTGCAAATATCCTGTCTCCATGCCACACAAGAGTTTAAAGGACTTAAACTCTGATCATTACTAATTAAGTGAATGACTGAATATTCTAATTTACAAGTGCCCTATATGCATATTTTGCCTCTTCAATATGAGACATTGGGTTGCAAAATTTGAAGAATAATATTTCTTATGATTGTGGTCCTGAGCTGCATTGGGATGTACATTTCCAACTCTTAGAAACTCTGGGAACAAAAATATTTTCTGACATTCAGAGTCATTTTGGCAAGATAAGCAGCCGTATAAATCAAACAAATAAATATTTTGGGGATTATGTACAAAACCAAAAGGACAAGCCTTCCAAGACCAAGTGGCTGTGGCTTCCAGCGTCCCGATATAGTCAACTGGTGCCATCGCTGGCTATTGGGGGTGAATCCCTGCCCCCCACAGAGAGGGCTCGCAATCTGGGTATCCTCCTAGATGCACGGCTGTCTTTAAAAGAGCATATGACGGCCATGGCCAGGGGGGCTTTTTATCAGGTTCTCCTGATTCGCCAGTTGCAGCCCTTTCTGGACCGGGATGCCTTGCGCACGGTCACTCACGCCCTTGTCACCTCCCGGCTGGACTATTGTAATGCTCTCTACATGGGGCTCCCCTTGAAGAGCACTCGGAGGGCTCCAGCTGGTCCAGAATGCGGCCGTACGGGTGGTTATGGGCACAACCAGTTGTGCCCACGTGACACCCCTCCTGCGCGAGCTGCACTGGCTCCCAATGGTCTTCCGGATGCAATTCAAGGTGTTGATTATCACCTTTAAAGCGCTCCATGGCATAGGATCCGGGTACCTTCAAGACCGACTTCTGCCACCAATAGCCTCCCACCAGCCAGTTTGCTCCCACAGAGAGGGTCTCCTCAGGGTGCCATCAGCCAAGTTATGTTGGCTGGCGACACCCAGGGGGAGGGCCTTCTCTGTGGGAGCCCCTGCCCTGTGGAATGAACTACCCCCAGAAATGCGTAAGATCTCTGACCTCTGTGTATTTCGCTGTGCCCTCAAGACCCTGTTGTTCCACCAGGCCGGGCTATCAATGATTTTTAAATTGGGTGTTTAAAATTTTTGAGGTTTTAAATTTGAGCCAAAATTATTTAATAATTTTAATTATTTTTAACTGATGTCTGTCTTTGTGCTTTTAATAGGCTGTACACCGTCCTGAGTCCTTCAGGAGAAGGGCGGGATAGAAATAATTTTATTTATTTATTTATTTATTTATTTATCACTTTTTTGTAACAACATTGTGTGCAAGATTAGTTCAGAAGTCAGTTATAAGTTAATAATGACATATTAAAGTTAGACTTATTTTTATTCTAGGGTTTCTGTGTTAAGGAGAACATTATTCGACATCATGAGAGCAGGTCTAATTAAGAAATATAACTGTTTCTTAAAAAAATAAGTCTATTAAAATAAGAAAAAGTATAGTAGCATTTACTTGGCAAGTATACTGTTGTTTTACAAGACAGTAGAAATGCTCAACTATTTTTATTCAGAAATTCATTTCCTGCCATATGTTTTAAATTAAGACATAGCTAGCCAAATTTCATTTGTTGGACTCCAGTTTTTGTGGCTGGGAAAGGAAATACTCATAATTGTAGTTCAATGTACTTTATCATTTTAACATTTTCTGTACTTTTGGACTTACATAACTCATCTTAAGAACTTTAGGTTTAGGCCTATTAATACAGTATGTATTACAGTCTGTAGTTTAAGAAACAATTCCAAATTATATTCGATGAGTTGATTGGCACACTATGAAAGTCAGAGAAAACACAGCAGAAAGCAAGAGAACAAAATGCTATCACTGGACTGATTATAAGTTATATTAAAGCTATTGTTGGCTATGTTCCATACGATTTGTGTTCAAGTCCCACCCAGCCATGAATCTTGTAGCTGCTCTTGAGTCATGCAATCTGTTTTGTAACACTGCTGTCAGAAAAATTGAGAGGGGGAAGGAGACTGGGGATGGTCCCAGTGTAATAAATATCTAATAAAACATAATAAAAGGAAATTATTTTGCTTTAATATTTTGTCTGTAGTTATTTAGAATTATGCTTTTTATTCAATCATGATTTTATTTTTTTCTTCCCTGAGAATAGAGGAAAGAAGCAGCTTTTTTCAGCAAGAGCTGCATTTTTAAACTTTGTGTTTATAATCTGAGAGCTGCAAAAGGCATGCCAGAAATTGGGCTAGAAGACTTTGGATCAGAATTTTCCACCTTTTTTTAGTCTCTTGGGATTAATAAATAAATAGCTGTATTAGGCTCATTTGAATACAAATGGCCATATTGTATTTCTGTTAAAAGGACAAAAATTGGAACCGGCTTTATATATATCACAAATTTCTAATTTTTGCTATAAAGGAATGGATTAATGTAAGGATCTTCAAATTTATAGATGATTTCTGGACTAAAAATGGTAACGGCAAAGGTGAGGAAAGTGGGAGTTTAATCTTATGTAAATTGCCCATAGTCATATGTGAAGGGATGTTCATAAAAATTGGAAATTAATTAATTTATTAATGAACAAAGAATGAATGAATGAACAAGCCCTATCTTTACTTGTTTTTGAATTCTTAATCTTGTTAAAGACTCAGCTTCATTATCTGCAATGAGATTAGAATTTAAAATTTGTATAAATGTGAAATAGTGCATCTAATAATAGTAGCAGTGTAAGAAGCCAGTTACCCCAATTCATGATTGGAGCTTCATGCTTCGAAGGATCCAGAAACAATTATTTTTTGTGCTGAATTTTATGTTTATTTTCTGAAATAATGATAGTAGTTATGATGACAATGTTTGTCTTTTTAGATTATTTCTAAAGCAAAAGTATGTGGCATCAGCAATGAATCTGAAACAGTTAAAAGACTTCGTTTGGCAGTGACAGATAAGGAATTTACTTTTAAGGCAGGACAATGGTAAGATTCTTTGATCTGTATGTGTTAAATAGAAAGAGAAGTTAATGAAATTCTAAATTGATGGTACATTTATACCCAAATTATCAATTTTTATTGACATCAAATTATTATTGTTTATTACAGGCACGTGCAAATGTTTAATTTAGTCACCTTTGAATGAAGTGATTTGCCCTCATAAAACAAATAGAATATATCTCAATTGCAGCAATTTCCTCACATGTGGTTTAGCCTTGTATCTCCTTTGAAATTGTTGTACATAAACATTCCTTAAATCTTCCCTACTCTACAGAGAGATTCTGTTTTATTTGTGCTAATGCAAAGAGTCAGAAGCTATATAACTATTTGTAAGTGAGTATCATTGAGAAACAACAGCATGTGCATAAGAAATCTCACTTGAAAATAAAAGGATTTCCAAAAATAATAAGATGCGAGGTTATTTGCTGTTTGAGAAAGAAAAAGTCAATAGTTCTACTTTTTTTTTGTTTCTCTGTAACCTAATCATTGGATTACATTCTTGTGGTATTTTCAGTGTATTGGGTGGGGTGGATGGATGGCTGGGTGGGAGGGAGGGAGGGAAGGAAGGAAGGATGGATTACAGTCTCTAGTATCTTATTTGGATAGAATATTGATTAGAAACAAGTAGAGAAGATTTAATCATGGAACTTACTTGTGATTTTGGCCACTGATTGTTGCTCAGTTTAAACTGCACCCCAGGGTTTCTGAAAGGATAAAATCATGATAGACTCCATATATACTGCCTTGTAGAATACTGTATAATGATATAATCTTTGAAAAATAGAATGATAGTATTTTTTCTTGTCCATGTATTCAAGAAAATTACGATTTGTTATTTTAATCATATGCACCTTTTCAAGATCTGAATGTTTTCTCTCAAAAATTCAGGTACAATTTTATATCAAATTCTTCAGTCTAGTCACTGTTTTCTTGTTCTTTTTTTGCTTTTACTTTCTCTTATAAATCCATCTGGCAAGTAAGTTTTATAAGATAAAACTTCATCTGTAGGATGTTAATAGCATGAGTTACTAGTAGTGTTAATTTTGCAGTCTTTTGCATTTAGAACAAGAAAACAAGATGTTGATTGCAATAATTCATGTTTGTAGAGCAATTTGCAGCACCTTTTGCACATGTGCACAGATGCATACTAAATTTGTGCGTGTTGGTTCTTAGGCAAACATTTACCCTTCAAAAATGTTTTGGTAATCATCATACTGAAAACTGGGTTCTTTAATTATAATTACTCTTTTCATTATCTTCCTTTTAAATTATTCTAATTCTGTTTGGCATGCTAACGTTCCACCATTGCAGCTAGTAAGATTGCTTATGATCAAATGAGTAGTACTGAGAAACAGAACTGGGGCAGGTGGGGGGGAGGTTAATAGATTTACATTTGTGATGGAATGGCTGGAGGTCTCTTCTTTCAAACATGTACATTTTTTCCCTCAATGGATATTTCGGTCAACAGAGGAGCTACATAGTTACGGTTATGCTTTACAAATTGATGCTTTGTTGAAATTTCATCACAGAACCTATTATACTATTGAAAGTTCCAGTGTGTTCAGTAGTAATCTGTGGTACTGTAAAGATTGTATTTCTGCCTGACTACTTGTTCTGAAATTGTCTCAATTTCTTTGCTTATACGGTATGTTTACTAAAAAGTACTGTTGCTTGTTTTATTTTAAACTAAAATTATATATTATAAAATTTGAAATTTCATTTATATGAACATTTTTTTCAAATATTTCTGTATTTACACTAAAATATAGTTTAAAAAGAAGCCAGAAAATGAAATAAACAAATGAGGGGCAAAATACCAAAAGTAAGATAAAGTCTGATCATTCGTCACTTGGAAACATTACTTTTCATTTATTTAAAAGTACAATTTATCAGTGCACTTTATGCCCAATAAATGCATATTAAATTTCATCCATACATATGCAAATAACATCGTTTGAATTTGGTTATGTAGATGATGAAATCATTGACTTTGACATTTAGAAACTAGAGAGTTTCTGTTGAACTCCATAATGAGATAGGACACCATGTATGAAAATAAAAGTGCTGTCTTTTATTTATATCTTGCCTTTCACTTGGAAGCTCAGGTAATATAAGACTTCTTCCTATTTTTCCTTACAACAATTCTGTGAGGTAAGTTTGATTGAGAGAGAATGACTGGCCCAAAGACACTAAGTGAATTGCTCTGGTGGAGAATGGAGTAGAACTTGCCTCCAGTCTAATATTTTAATGAGTACCTCTTCGCTGTCAATATTTAGATATAAGGAGTCCAATACAAGAGGATTGCTCCCAGAAATGAAGTTTTGCATGCAGATTCATTTTAATGGAGGCAAAAACGATGTAACTGTAAGCCGCCCAGAGTTTTCCTTTGGTTAGAAGGGCAGCCAATAAATTGTATGTATGTATGTATGTATCTTTGTATGTATGTATGTATGTATAAACAAACAAACAAACAAACAAACAAATAAATAAATAAATAAATAAATAATAACATAATAATTTTCAGACCACAATGATATTTCAAAAGGATTTTTGCTTTATGATCCTAGGCTGCATTAATGATTCATAAATACATTTTTTGCTATTATATTATCCAATGTGCTGCATTTTTTAGATTGAAAGTTTATTTTTTAAAATTTTAGTGGTTTTGAATTATACAACATTATAATCTGTATGTATAAAGCATTAAACATATCCTGTATAACAGGGGTGAAATGCTCCCGGTTCGGACTGGATCGTCCAATCTGGTAGCAATGGAGGCGGGTAGTTCGGAGAACTGGTAGCAAAAATCCCTGCCCCCTCCTCATTGCCCAGCTGAACCGCGCAATCATTAGAGGCTTTTTTAAAATTTTTAAAGCATTTTTTCTACAACCTCTTTGGCCGAAAAAATGCTTTTAAAAGTAAAAAAAAAAAGCCTCTGATGATCACGCGGCTTAGCTGGGATCATCAGAGGCTTTTAAAAGCATTTTTTCTACAACCTCTTCGGCTGAAGAGGTTATAGAAAAAATGTTTTTAAAAGGAAAAAAAGCCTCTGCCTGCAAGTCAGCTGGGATTTCAAAGGCTTAAAAAAAAAAAGAAAGTCTCTCTGATCAGGCAAGTCAGCTGGGATCGTCAGAGGCTTTAAAGCAGTTTTTAACAACCTCTTCAGCCGAAGAGGTTGTAGAAAAAATGGTTTTAAAAGTTAAAAAAAAAAAAAAAGTTGGCCATGCCCACTCAGTCATATTATCCCCCCCAAGCCACGCCCACAGAACCGGTAGTAATAAATTTTACATTTCACCACTGCTGTATAGTCTTCTTTTCTACTTCTGAATGCCAGTAGAGTTATAGTGATTTGTTTTGTAAATAAATCTGTTTTAACTATAGTTTTAGGTTCCACAAAGTTTCAAGTAATAAAGGAAACAATAATAATATTCTAAAATAAATGGTATCAAGGTTGCTGGCTTTTAATTGGGTTACAAATTTGTAAAACAAGACATTTTGTCAAAAGACGACAGTTTAAACTTGGAGTTCACTTTGTACTAAATTTGAACTTTCATATATGTTTGTAATTTGGTTTTACAACATTTAACAGGCAGAATCATTCCTCACTAGAGGGCACTATAATGCAGCTTGCATGGATTAATTTATAAGGATTATAAATGTGTTAATAAAATACAAATAAATAATTGCACATAATTGAAAGTTCTTTTTCTTAAATATTTTTAAAAACTAGATTAAAGAGACTGGATTAAATTTAGTAGTATTGATAAAATTAAAATTGAACTTTTGAAAATGCTAGGCAAACATATCTCTGGTAGATGGAAACTATCCATTTGTAAAGTGATTCAGGTAGAAATAGATTGGATGATAACGTAATATTCTTGAAATGAAACTTCACATATTAAGAATATGCTATCAATACAAGTTTTGTGGCATTGCTGACAAAATAACCTTTTAACCATGTATATTTGCCATTATGACTCAATTACAATTTTATGTTTACAACAAAAACTTTATTTTTCTTTCCTCTCACTTTGTTTCCCTTTTTATATTATTTATAAGGCTGTTTACTTATATGTTAAAATTGTAAACTGCTTTGATTGCATTGACTGAAAACAGAAATATGTGTACAGTAAATTAATAGGATTCAGACATTTACGCTTTACTCCCTAAGCCAATTCAAGATTTTGTTCAGAGTTTTCTGTTATGGGAAATTTTAGATCAGTTAGTGAATTATCATTGTTATTCCCCGAACAGTTATTTCAGTAGGAAGAAATTTAATTGTTGCCTCTCAGCATCCAAACCTGACTACAGGTAATTCTTGTCTTATGACCACATGGTTAATATCTGTTTGAAATTACAATGGTTTGGAAAAAATGCTTTACGCTCTGTAGAGCACTTCCAGCCAGGGTTAAATGTCATGCTGCCTCCCCCACCCATGATCACTTGAGTGTGATCTAGATACATGGTAATCTGTTCACACTTATAACTGTTTGCCAAGTACTCCAAAATCATATGATTTCCATCTTTGCAGTATTCTCTACTGACTTTCCCAGAATGTCAATGGAGAAGATAGTAGGGAATCCTACCAAGAGGACTCATTCTCATATCCCGGGGCTGGCTAAAAGAGCTGCCTGCTGAGAGGAGCTGAACTCCTTAAATGCAGTGGGATCCTTTTCTATCTCTCTCAGTGGCACTTGGATTTTCAGCTTCCCTAAGCGGACCTCCTCAGAATCTTCCCCATCCACACTCTTATCTTGGACTCCATCCACTTAATAATCCATGCATTTGTTTAATATCTTCAGGCCTGGGTACAGCACGGAAACGGCATTGGTCGTGTTGGTTGATGATTTCTGGAGGGCTCAGGACAGGGGTTGTTCCTCTGTCCTAGTCCTATTAGACCTCTCAGCGGCTTTTGATACCATCGACCATGGTATCATGCTGCACCGGCTAGAGGAATTAGAGGTGGGGGGCACCGTCCTACGGTGGTTGTCCTCCTTTCTCTCTGACCGGTCGCAGTCTGTGTTGACAGGGGGGCAGAGGTCCCCACAGAGATACGGAGGATCCCGGACCTGCGCACGTTTTGTCGTGCTCTCAAAACTTTTTTATTTCAGCAGGCTGGCCTGGCCTAACTCTCCTCTTTTAAATTTTTAATTCGTGATTTTATAAATTGGGTGTTTTAATCTGTGTTTCGGCCAAAATATTTAATAATTTTAAGGGATTTTTTAATATTTGTATTATCTGTATTTTATCTTGGCTGTTCACCGCCCTGAGTCCTTCGGGAGTAGGGCGGTATAGAAATTTGATTGATAGATAAATAAATAAATAAATAAATAAATAAATAAATAAATAAATAAATAATAACTGCAATCGGAAGTGCTTGGGTTGTGGCCATTGACAAACCGGTTACATGAGCAGTCTTGTGACAACTCACATAGCAACCACTTTGTTCAACAACCGAGATCCAGGCTCAGTTGTGGTTGCAAGTTAAGAACTACTTGAATAAATATGAAGGACTTCAGCAAGAACTTATACTATTGTTTTTGCGCATGCTCGAAGATGGCGGCTCGCGGGTGAAGCTCCGACGTCTGGGGGCAATGTAGGTGTTCCCATGGATTCCTGGAGGGCCGAATTTCCACCAACGGCCCTGGCCCAGCAAGTTAAACATGAGGACAGCCTGCTACGAGCTTTTGGACTCTTTTGAGCCGCTCATGAGGCTGTCTGGAGCCATAGAGCACCGCGAGGCTATGGCGGCGCAGACGGGAGGCTTGGAACTGATTGGGGCGGCACCTTTTGCCTCAGCGTCTCCCCAGCGGCGGCCGGATGGGGTAGGGGTGTGTGAGGGTGATGGCGGCATGCAAGAGCGCCACTGGACGCCCCCCTCCCCGAAAAAAGCTCGGGACTGCCAGCAGCGGCGGCGACGTTGGGCGCGGCAGCTGCGGCGGTGGGAGTGAAATGGTGGCTGCTGGGGCGATGCCAAGGGGAGTGGCACGACCCTGGTGGAACTTTTCAAACTTAGACCTTTTCCAACCGGTCTATTGCCAGGAAGGGGGAGTCCTGGCGGACTGATTTGGAGCTACCTGATTGGTGACTCTCCTGAAGGCCTTCTGAAGACCTTGGGACTTATGGGGGGGGGGATTAGAAGATCTTGTGAAGACTGGAGGGGTTGGGAAGAGCTAGGCTGTGATTGGCCTATAGCCCCAGTCAGTCTCCCCCCTCCCCCCTTCCCCCTTTTCCCACCGCGGCCCAGTTGTGGGCGTTGGTTGGGATCATTATTATCTGGACTGGATCCTTTCCGCATTTGGACTCATTGCCCCTTAAAATAACTACAGCTGACCCCCGCCTCCGGCTATACCATCAGTACTATTGTCATCTGTACTACCTTGCTGTCAGGAGATGTTTAAACCTGGGCATGGGCACTGAGGGAGTCACTTTGTTGCAGCTGTCACCGAAGAAGATCTGCTGTTACCAGCCGCCGTGAGAGGGTGGCTTGGTCACTGCTCTCCCGGGGCAGTGGCCTGAGACTCCTTTCCACTGTAGTGAGAGGACAGTGGAGTCCGGTTGGCCCATGCTGGAATGGTGAACTTTCTCTCCTGGACCTTTCTAATCAGCACCATTGAATCCTTGGACTCGTTCATCTTCCCCAGACAGACTATAGGATGTATTCACCGGCTGAGCTCTTCGCGCTGCGAGACTCCCCTCTCTCGCAGGCCTGGCCCTCCATGTTATCGAGGGCCTATCTTGATGACGGATTTTGGAATCCCGAGAGATGGCATGCAGCGAAGAGGGGGTTGAGGGGTTTTTTATTTAAATTTTTAATGAGAATTTTAAGGGGACCCGGGAGGAAGGGAGGGGGTTGTAAAAGTGGACCTGGGGGAGTCCAGATAGCTACTGAGCGGGGCGATTGGTTGATTGGTTGCAGCTGAGGTATCGGGAAAGGAAATTTATCCGGGGAACGGGGGCAACAGGAAGGGCAATGAAATTGAAATAATGAGTGGGAGGGGCAGGTACAACGGGCGCAGGGGGCCATATTATGTGTCGGGTGTGTGCACACGCTGTTTATGAGCAATTGTGCACCCTGGCCCCCAATGCGCGACTCGCGGCCTGGGTTCTGCAGAGTCACAGGCCCAGGGTCCGCGGCTGATGTTGTGTAATGCCAGGTCAGTTGTTAATAAAGCCCCCCTCATTTGTGATCTTATTTTGGAGGGGGGTGCTGACCTGGCAGGTATTACGGAGATCTGGTTGGGCCAAGAGGGGGGGGTCCCCCTCGTCGAAATGTGCCCACCAGGTTTCCGTGCATTTCATCAGCCAAGGGCCCAGGGGAGGGGTGGGGGAGTGGCGGTGATTATTAGGGAAAGTCTTTGTCTGAGGGAGACCACTGTTCCTCAGATAGCCGGATGTGAGTCCCTTTTTGTGAAGTGGGGCCATGGGTTGCAGATGGGTTTGCTGACTACGTACCTGGCTCCCTGCCACGTGGCAGCGACCCTGCCCGAGCTACTCGACGTCATTGCCGGGGTGGCAGTTGATACCCCCAGACTTATTGTCAATGGGGATTTCAACCTTCCAGCCGTGGGTGAGGCGTCATAGGTGGCTCGGGAGTTCATGGCTTCCATGACGGCCATGGACCTGGCCCAGTTAGTTCAAGGCCCCACTCACATAGGGGGACACACTCTGGACTTGATTTTTGTCTCTGGTCAGTGGTTGAATGATCTTGGTAGAGGGGACCTAGACATTAAACCCTTGTCATGGACAGATCATTCGCTCCTTCACTTGGACTTTCCTACCACTTCCCCCCGCCGCAGGGAGATGGAACCGACCAGATGGTTCTGTCCTAGGTGCCTGATGGATCCCGAAAGGTTCCTGACAGAGCTTGGGTCATTTCCTGAGACTCTGGCACACGACTCGACTGAAGAGCTGGTGGCCACCTGGGAGAGTGCGGCCGCTGGAGCTTTGGATCGCGTCGTGCCTTTGCGGCCTCTGACCCGATGCCGATCTCAATTGGCTCCTTGGTTCTCTGAGGAGCTGAGAGAGATGAAGCGTTGGAAAAGACGCCTAGAGAGCATTTGGAGGACTAGTCAATCCGATTCCGACCGGACACAGGTGAGGTCTTATATCAAGACCTACCTAGTGGCGATAAAACTGGCAAAATCTAACCATTTTTCCGCTCTTATCGCATCTGCAGAGAACCGCCCAGCCGCCCTGTTTAGGGTGACCCACTCCCTTCTTCAGGGGGGAGTGCGGGAAGATCCCTTGCAGGGTCGTGCTGAGGATTTTGTGCAATTCCTGCACGATAAAGTCACTCGGATTCGGGAAGGCTTGGACTCCGATTGGATGAGTCCAGGGGATGAGGCGAGGGTAGGTCTTGAGAATATTATCTGGGAGGAGTTTGATCCTGTGGCTCCCGAGGATGTGGACAGGGTTCTGGGTAAGATTAGTGCCGCCACATGTTTATTGGACCCGTGTCCCTCCTGGTTGGTACTGGCCTCCCGGGAGGTTACACAAGGCTGGCTCCAAGGGATTATAACTGCTTCTTTGAGTGAGGGTGCTTTTCCTGACGCCTTGAAAGAGGCGGTGGTGAGGCCCCTCCTCAAGAAGCCTTCCCTGGACCCGGCTGAATTAGCCAACTACCGTCTGGTCTCCAGCCTTTGTTTTGTGGCGAAGGTTGTTGAGAGCGTGGTAGCACGACCTCTGGGTATTTCGCTGTGCACTGAAGACCCTGTTGTTCCGCCAGGCCGGGCTATCGACATGATAATTTTAAATTGGGGTATTTTAAATTTCTGGGGTCTTAAATGGAGCCAAATTTATTTAATAATTTTAAATTTTAAATTGATGTTTGTCTTGTGTTTTTAAATAGGCGGTACACCGCCCTGAGTCCTTCGGGAGAAGGGCGGTATAGAAATAAAATTATTATTATTATTATTATTATTATTATTATTATTATTATTATTATTATTATTATTATTATTATTTGTGAATCTGAAATTAATACTAACATTTGATCTGTTCTGTTGGTCTTTAATGTATTTTACCCATTATTGCTTTACTAGCTAAATATCTTATATATGATTTTCCTTGAACTTTGCCTATACAAATAGCAATGTAACATTCTATGTAATTAATTCACTTTACATAGAAGGGTTCTAATAAATATCTATATGCGTAATATATTATTAAACTGTACACATTTGGATAATCTTGTCAGAGGTTTTGAATAGTAAAAAAGAAACCTGTTTCAGGACATTGTATAGAAGAAATTAAATGGATATCTATTTTCTTTTAGGGTAGACTTCTTTATACCTGGAGTTTCTGTAGTTGGTGGATTCTCAATATGTTCAAGTCCTGGTATGTTGGAAGAAGAGGGAATATTAGAACTTGCAGTAAAACATACAACACACCCACCTGCTCACTGGATTCATACTCAGGTATTTATAACTAAAAGCTCCTAATAATTTTGGTTTTAGTGTTCTTTAAATTTATTTTTACATCTTTATTACTAGGAGCTGTATTGTAGCTTTATAGGTAATTCAGCATTATTATTACTTTTACGTGCACTATAAGTCTTAAATTTAATGACGGAGTATAGTATAATGTGTATTAGATTATTTGTGCCAGACTTGTTAAATGCCATACATGTCATTGCACTTAAACATGATGAAATGATCTGGATACAAAAGACAAAAAACTGCTCTATACATTGCTCTTCATAAAACTTTAAATCTGTATAAATGTAACATTTTATCAACAGCCAGCACAATCTGTGTTTAACTAATGTATATCGTTTTGGTTTGACCTGTTTTTCTCTCACAAACACAAAATCTCTGCCAGTACATGGTCCTCCTATACAGGTCTCTTATTGAATTATGTAAGTGTAGTGGCAAATGGGATATTTCAAAAAGCACAGTAAAATGGCAGAAATTAATTAATACAAAATTAGACTAAAAATGGACGAGTATGAGGTGGTACCAGAAGAAGGAAGATCTTTGAACCTAGGCTTCATTTTTGTGATGTTGCTAGAACACAAAGGTACCAGAAAGTGGGCTCATTGACCAATGTTTAAAAAGCAGAGTCTTGTTATATCTGAAATACTAATGCAATTGTTATCATATAAACTCCTATATATAACACCCTCTTTATCAGATATATTTAAAGACTTGGCCTGTGAGCCATGAAAGTTTACATGAAAAAAATAGGTTCACCTTTTAGGTGCCACAAGCTTACCTTTTTGCTCTAGAAAAACTGCTTCCCACTGAAAATTAGTCCAGAATACTTATGGATTGTTTACCCCTTTAAACATTTTCGCTACCAAACTATGATTTATAAAGGATAATTCTGTAAAAGATAAGTGAGGTGGAGGGGACCTTTATATGTGCTGTTATGAACAATATGCTTTTCTTCTGTTTTTGTTGACTAGTGGATCAGTGTAATATCAATGCAATCTTATCATTTGAGCAATTCTCTCCCTTTCTCTGTTTCTCTTCATTTCCCAGGTTGCTCCTAATCCATCCATTACCATTTGCCCATAAAAAGTAGTCCTACTGTTCTTAAATAGGTTACTGTCATGCACTATTGAAATTTCAATAAAATAATTGACTTTGAAAGGTATTCTGAAAATGCATAGAACCAGTGTGGCTCAACCATACATTCTTAGACAAATCCTGATGGAGATTTTCTGTCACATCTCTGCTGTTCATTAGGGAACTCAAAAATTCTAACCTCATAATTATCTGCCTCAGAGGCATTTCCTAAGACTTTTCTTCCTGCCTTAATATTTTAAATTAAACTCATAGTATCACAGTAATTAAAGCAGTTTAAAGCATTAGCTAATGCTAGAACTGCTAGTTATCATTAAGGTTTTTTTATGCCAAGTGTCTGGGTGCTCTTATGTGGAGAAATTACAAGCCTTTTAACAGAAATTACAAGCCTTTTAACAGAAATAGAGAAGATATTTAGAAATGATGAGACAAATATAAGCTTTTCATAATCTATGAACCTATGTTATTCTAAAGTTATATAAGTTAATAAGATATGAGATATAAGGAAGTTATGGATTTCTTATCTGTTACAGGTAGTCTGTGACTTACAAGCACAATTGAGGCCAAAATTTATGTTGCTAAGTGATTTTTGCCCCATTTTTGATTTTTGTCCCATTTTACGATCTTTCTTGCGTCAGTTGTTAAGTGAATCATTGCAGTTGATAAGTTAGTACCCAATTCTTAAATAAATATGACTTCTCCATTGGTTTGTTTATCAGAAGGTTGCAAAAGGCAATCACATGATCTTGGGTCTCAGCAAAGGTCATAAATATGAATCAATTGCCAAACATCTGAATTTTGATCACATGATCATGGAATGCTGCAAAGGTTGTAACTGAAAAATGGTCATAAGTCACTTTTCTCAGTGCTGTTGTAACTTTGAATGGTCACTAAATAAACTGTTGTAAGTTAAGGATTACCTGTATTAAAGCAGTTTATTGTAGTTTTTTTTATTTTATGATTTTTATTGTTCTTTATTTAATTTTTAAATAGCGATCTCAAACTGTAATAATTGTAGAGTGCTACAATTGGATTAGATTTGTAACCATTAAGAAGTTAACATTAATTCTATAATATAGTGCAGCATTTTTCTTAAGATGATCAGAAATACAGGGATAGATAAATATAGGAATATATTTGACTTAGGGAAAATAATGATGATAAACTATTTTTACTATATACATTTGTTTTATAGCTATTATGATTTTGATGAGCACATAGACATGTTTCTGCAGCTTATGGAAAAATATTCTGGATTTAACTATGATGAGCAGAGTGTTATTAGGGCTAGCTTATTCTTCTTTTTCTCAACCTGCAATTGAAGTGCTGAAACCCATCCAAAAAGGGCAATTGTTAGAATAGTTAGATTTATGACAGAGAGAAAGATACCATACTGGAATTGGGATTTGTATTAGAGGAAGTGCTTTAAGAGGACTCAATGGGCCTTAGTCAAACCACTGAATCTTTTATTTCAAATTTCCAATGGCCTGACTACTTTTAAATTATCTTTCAGTAATAAAACCATTTTGTACTCATATGCAATGCATTTGTGAGTTTTATTTAGTCACTGTTTGTCTTTGGTGGACAAAATCTATACTCTGTGTGTGTGTGTGTGTTTATACACATACAGATATACATACACCTACACGCCTACAATATATGTGTGCACACATATATATGTATATATGGGTATACACATATGCATGCAAAGCAGGGGTGAAATACATCAGGTTTTGACAGGTTCTGGAGAATTCCAGAACCTGTCAGAACCTGACAGGTTCAGTAGCGGAAATTTTGAGTAGTTCAGAGAACCAGCAAATGCCACCTCTGCTGGCCCCGAGTAGGGTAGGAATGGAGATTTTGTAATATCCTTGTCCCAGGAATGGGGAGGAAATGGGGATTTTGGAGTATCCTTCCCCTGCCACGCCCACCAAGCCACACCATGGCCACCAAGCCATGTCCACAGAACCAGTAGTAAAAATTTTTGAATTTCATCACTGATGCAAAGCATTTTATAAAAAGAATGTCAGGCATCCAACATTCATCATTTAGTACAGAATTTCTTTCATTGTTAGAACCAAGGTAGGCAGTCTCCTTCTTGAGTCCAGTATATGTCCTGAACTATTGAGACATGGAGAAGAAAACTCTTTCTCACATTACTTTGGATTCTTCTTCAGTCTGTGGTCCGCTCAAATGGGTTTGAACTGAATTCTTTATTAACACTGGCTGATTGGGTAAAACTGGATTATGCCTTATTACATATTTCAGTTTAATATTGTTTTTAAATATTTTCTTCAGAATTGTGATGCGTCTGGAAAAATTATGTGTCTTTGTGATTGGTAACTGTATTGGACACTGTGTATCCATAATAATTGCTGAAAACTGTGTATATTGTTGTAAGTTAAACATTAAACTAGGGGAAAGTTTAGTTTTTGTCTTTTTTGACACATCACTCTATTTTTTAAAAACCACCTATTATAACCGTATTTCCACTTAACAAGCCTCTGGCCAAATTCTTTTAAACATGTCTTTTAAAAAATGTCCTCAGTTCCCAGGGCCTTAGAATTCTAATTTAAATTTTCATGTTCTTCTGAGAAGACGTTTTATGAGATAAGCTTAAAGCAAACTTGCTTTGCTTTAAACGAATCTCATAAAATCAACAAGAATGAAACCATATGTATTATTACTCAAACCAATCAGCTAAGTAACATTCTTACGATTGAAGAATGTGTAGATTGCACTAACTTGACTTATTTTGCAGTAAACTATGTTACACCACTAATGTGGCTTTTCAGTTAAAATAATTTCCCTCTCTGATTTTCTTTGAAATCCATCTTTGGTATTCTTGTTGTCTTTTTGCCTTTTTTGTTCTTCCTTATAGTGTGCTCTTAATTCAGAAGTGGCTTTGCGAGTTGGAGGCAACTTCTTTTATGATCCTCAGCCTGAAGACATTCCAGCAAACGTTGTACTAATAGCAGGTGGAGTAGGCATTAATCCTTTATTTTCTATACTGCTCCACATCGCAGACCTTCACAGAACTGAAGAGAAGAAAGGAAACGGTTGTAAAGTGGGAACAACCAAACTCTTTTATTGTGCAAAAAATGCACATGAACTTCTGTTCAGGGTAGGTTTATTATATAACATTGCATAATTTGCTTTAATGGCTACACGACACTCTTAACTTTTTTTTTAAAAAAATGAGAAGTCAGGAGCTGCAGTGGATAGGAGGTTGATGCAATGAAGGTGGGGCTGTGTCATACACGTAGACAGGAACAGAATTTTCTATTTTGGTGAGCAGGTGGAGTTTTTAAAATTAATTTAGGGCTTACACTTATAGGTTTTCAAACTTTGTACTCCCCCAAATAAAACTAATGATCATAATAGACAAGAAACAATTATAATCATTTATTTTTAATATGTTGTTAAAACTATGTGGTACTTCAGCTGCTTCAAGTAAAATGAGGAGCAAAGCCCAGAATGAGGTTTTTCACTTGATCTTCACAAGTTCGATTGCATTTTTTTAAAATGTAACTTTGCTTCCTCAAGAGATTCAAACATACTTTAAGAATCCTGATTAACACTCTTGGTTTTATATATTTCTTGTCTTTCCTGCTTCAAAATGACTGTTGTGATCAGAGGGAGCATTGGGAATTACAAAGTAGGGGTTCAGGTGTATATGATGCCTGGGACATCAAGTTGCTCACTGTATTGTTGCTACCAGTGGTGGGATTCAAATAATTTAACAACCAGTTCTCTGACAGAATGACCGGCTGGTTGGGCGTGGCCAACTTGGTTGGTCTCACCCTTAGAAAATTTCTCTTTAGTCCAACTCACAATAAAATAGCACTGTTCCAATAAATGGAATGGAATGGAATGGAATGGAATGGAATGGAATGGAATGGAATAGAATAGAATAGAATAGAATAGAATAGAATAGAATAGAATAGAATAGAATAGAATAGAATAGAATAGAATGAATAACAGAGTTGGAAGGGACCTTGGAGGTCTTCTAGTCGAACCCCCTGCTTAGGCAGGAAACCCTACACCACTTCAGACAAATGGTTATCCAATGTCTTATTCCAGTGTTGGAGCATTTACAATTTCTGGAGACAAGTTGTTCCACTGATTTATTGTTCTGTCAGGAAATTTGAGGTACTCCTACAAAAATGAGAGGGTCAATCAGGGGTGAAATGCTCCCAGTTCGGACTGGATCACCCGATCCGGTAGCGATGGCGGCGGGTGATTCAGAGAACCGGTAGCAAAAATCCCTGCGGCCCCCCCACCATGCCCATGAGCCATACGATCATCAGAGGGTTTTTTAAAAAAAGTTTTAAAAGCATTTTTTCTACAACCTTCTTCCGCCGAAAAAATGCTTTTAAAAGTAAAAAAAAGAAACCTCTGATGATCGTGCGGCTCAGTGGGGATCATCAGAGGCTTTTCAAAGCATTTTTTTCTGCAACCTCTTTGGCCAAAGAGGTGGTAAAAAAAATGCTTTGAAAAGCCTCTATGACGATCCCAGCTGAGTTGCCTGATTGTCAGAGAGGCTTTTCAAAGCATTTTTTTCTGCAACCTCTTCGGCCAAAGAGGTTGTAGAAAAAATGCTTTGAAAAGTTAAAAAAAAAAAGTTGGCCACGCCCATCCAGTCACATTACCCCTCCCCCACCAAGCCACACCCACAGAACTGGTAGTAACAAATTTTACATTTCACCCCTGGGGTCAATATGTTTTCCAAAGCACCAAAAGGCACGACAAGAAACAATGGATGGAAGAGAGAAACAACCTAGGACTAAGAAGAAATTTCCTAAGGGTGAGACCAGTCAATCAATGAAATAGCTTGCCTTCAGAAGTTGTGGGTACTCCATCACACACAAGCAACACAATTGCAAGATAATTTGAAATCTTTACAACCTAATACTGTAAGCTAACTCTTAAATGCTGAAAATGCAGGCTCAAAATACATACACATAGAAACAGCATTGAACCCTATTCCAAATTAATAAAATCAATTCTGCTAATTAGAACTTGTATTTAAAAAGACATAAGAATTCTGACAAGAAACTCCTGCTCTGGATTAGCAGAGAAACCTGCTAATTAGAAACCTGCACAGAGTTAGATTAAAAACTATTTTTTTAGAATGTATTTGTACAACTGAGCTCCACTATAAGGAATTGTTACCTGAATTTGAAAATATAATAATGTTAGAAAAAAGGGAATTAGTTATGCTACCTTTTTCTTAAGATCCATATTAAAATACAATATTCTTATACTATTCTTCAAATTTGTAGAATCTGAACTAAACAAACATCTGCTTTGATTTATTTGACTGTGGTATGACTAAATATCTTGCACATTCCAGAAACAGATCCTTGGTTTGACAAATGCATTTCCTGGAAAAATCACATGCAGTTTCCACGTTACCAAGCAGAATTTGCCAATTTGTGAGAAACTTCTGCCTTACATCAAGGGTGTGTATTTTTGTGATGCATTAAAAAAATTGCACGACAAGTTATAGTTTTAATACTTTGAGAACCAAAGTAATTATAGCATGCAGGTAGTTCTCACTTAATGACCGTAACTGAGACCAGCAACTTTGCCTCTAGGCAAAGTGGTCTCTAAGTGGGAAACCACATGATTAACTCTCTTGAAGTTTCTTCCTTTAATTTTTCTACTCTGCCAGAGGGCAAAGAATAATAGAATAACAGTTGAAAGGGACCTTGGAGGTTGTCCAGTCCAATCTCCTGCTCAAGCAAGAAATCCTATACCATTTCAGACAAATGGCTGTCTAATCTCTTCTTTAAAATCTTCAGTGTTTGAGCACCTGCAAGTTGTTCCACTGATTAATTGTTCTAACTGTCAGAAAATTTCTTAGTTCTAGGTTGCTTCTTTCTTTGATTACTTTCTATCTATTACTACTTGATCTGCCTTCATGTGCTTTCGAGAATAGGTTGATCCCCACTTCTTTGTGGCAGCCCCTTAGATATTGGAACACTGCTATCATGTCACCCCCTAGTCCTTCTTTCATTATACTGGATATACCCAATTCCTGCAGCTTTTTTTCATATGTTTTGGCTTCCAGTCCCCTAATCATCTTTGTTGCTCTTCTCTGCACTCTTTCTAGAGTCTCCACGTCTTTTTTATATAATGACGAACAAACTGGATACAATATTCTAAGTGTAGTCTTACCAAAGCATTATAAAGTGGTATTAACACTTCACATGATGTTGATTCTGTCCTTCTGTTAATGCAGCCTACTGTGTTGGCTTTTTTGGTGGTTGCAACACACTTCTGGCTCATATTTAAGTGATTGTCCACTAGGACTCCAAGATCCCTCTTGCAGTTATTGAACCAGTTACCATCTATTCTATACCTGTACATTTGATGTTTCTTGACTAAATAAAGAACTGTTTTTATTCCTATTGAATTTCATTGTGTTAGATAGGGCCCAGTGTTCAAATTGCTTCTCGGACTTTGGCTATGATAAAGTGTAGTGTAAATCTTTCAAGATCTTCTGGATCTTGAACCTATCTTCTGGAGTGTTGCCTATTCCTGCCATCTTGGTGTCATCTGCAAATTTGATGAGTTCCCCATCTATCCCTCGTCTAAATCATTGATAATTTCTATACGCAATCTCTTTTTTGCGTGATCCTTTCCCCACTATTGACATGATTGTTGTCAGTATAGAGAAAGGAATAAGTTTACTCTTTGTAATCTTTTCTTTTTCAATCTCTCCACTCTACTGGTGGAGGGGTGAGGTAAGGTAAAGGAAACATAGGCTATAGAAATCATTTGCTTTTTTTTTCTTCCCTCTCACATAGCGGAGGGTGGGAATGTAAAAAAAAACAGGTCAGACTCAGCACAACGTGTAGGGACACTGTAAAGGTCATAGATGGGCTATTAAAGTTAATTTTTTTTTCAGCACTGTTATTAACTTTAATTGGTCTGAACAAATGGTTGGGAAGTCAGATGGGGATTTCTTATGCAAACTATGCATGTTTATTGAAAAATGTGTCTTTGTATGGACAACAAAGCTCATTCCCAGATGGGTATTGGAGCAATAAGGATCCTTATTCTGAGTAAGGATGTCATGTTTAAGAAAGTTAACAGTTTTCAAATGCAGTTAATATGTTTTTGCTTGCTATTATTAAGATATATGGATAACCTTTACAGATATTTCTTTTAATGATTGATTCAATTTCCTTGATGCTAGCTAGATTAAAGAAAATATTTATTGTAAATGTTTAATTTGGTATTATATTATTAACAGCAATTAGAGTTTGGCTAAAATATGAAAAACTGTAAACATATTTTTGTAAACTTTCTGTAGCAGCAGAAAAGGACCTAGCTAGCATCTTACTTTCTCTTTGTAAATTATTAAATACTAAGCGAGCATTGGAAAGGGACACTTCCATGGATTTTGACATGGTTGAAGCATCTTTTGAAATGTTAAAGCAATGGTTTCCTCTGGAATTCTTATGTAGTTTCTTTAAAGAATTTTAAATGCATGCGTATGCACTGTGCTTCATTAGTTCTAGCAGAAGTGTGATCCATGTAAACTCATGCCTTATGGGAGATCTAGCTGCTGTAATAATTCAAGGAGAAAATGCTTTGCTTATGCCAACAGGATTTATGAAGCTCCCATTTCAAATAATTAGCATAGTTCTATTAAATGTCTTCATAAATGTTTTCTTAACTCTGTGTATTCTCTACTAGAAGGAAGATTATCTGGAAGTGACCTAGAAAAATGTATTTCCAAGAATACTTTGTGGTACATTTGTGGACCACCTCCAATGATAGAATCCATCTCCAAGCTGCTTGAAAACCTTGGGGTGGTTCAGAGCAATATTTTCTTTGAAAAGTGGTGGTAGCACACCCAGCAGCATTCCAGGCAAAATAAAAATGAAGACATAATATATGTATGTTTGCTGATGAACCATGAAAGTTTACACAAAGTAAAAACATTTCCATTTGTGGAAATAAAATAATTCATAATGAAATTATAAAATTTATTTTTAACAAACAATTTGGAAAAACAAATAGGAAACATGTTAAATTTGAACATGTATTGAGCAGTGACAATTTCTAAAAAAAATATTTTCTTAAGTATTTTATTAACTTTGGTTTGTAATACATTAATATATAAGTAAATATATATGTAATATTTCACTACATACGGATTAGAGAAGAAGAATGACTTGAAATCTACGCCATAGTCTCATATGGGAAGGACAAGCTTAACATAAAAGAATGGAATTCATCTATCCATTTCCGGTCCATCTTGTATATTCTATTGAAGGCTGTTTGAAAAGTAAAAGATGTTGCTTTTGAAGCTTCTTGTATTTTCAGGAAAGAGATTTGGCACAAGGTTATTAGTGAAGTTCTGAATGTACATTTGAGTAATTAGATTGGATCAAAAATTAATTGTGCTATGATAGAACCACTAAAATCAATGAAATGAGATAAGCAAGTCATGAATAAATGAAGTACTGTTAATTTCCAGTAGTTTACTCAAAACATGATGAAATCTGGATCCAGCTTATTTCCATAATATTATCTCTTTTCTATAATACTATCTCTTTTAATTTTCAAAGTTATGAAACTTCATTTGAAATAACATTATAGTCTGATCTGTTTCTAGTCAAAAGCAGCATACCACATATAGGGGATCAAACTTGGAATTATTCTGCTAAATCATCAAAATCATTAAAATGTACTATCATTATAAACTTAAGTCCTTTACTTAGCTAAAATACGTCTAAACAGTTTTATTTGGAAGAAAATCCTATTGATTTCAATGGAATTTACTTTGAATTATTAAAACTGGATGTTTGGCACTTTCCCCCATCTTTCCGGAAGCCACTTGGCTTGACTAGCATATATTGAGGCAATGTAGTCCATTATGAAGGGCTAAGGTCTGCGCTGCTACTGTGTTAGGGGCAATTAGGAACTATGGTAATTATGTATGAGATTTTGAGTTTATCTAAAGGTATTAAATAAACTAATATTGTGGTTTGATGGCATAAGGTTTAAACAAACTTAATTATGCTGCTTTTCCTCACACTGGAATGCTATGTATAGTGTTACTTGTCTGTACTATAGGAATTGCAAGGAATTTAAGAGAATCCAAATACAAAACAAGAAATTTGTGGTGAGATTTCTGTTTAGTGCAGTGTGCTGTTAATATTTTCTCTTATGAAATTGTGTCTCACAATATTAGATACCAAGTAGCTTATATTGTTTTGAAAGGGGCCTAGACTAATTAAGGAATTGTTTGTCTTCCAAACGTTATGATGATTGTATGGAGCCTCCATTGAAGAGTGCATTGAATATTATTTCTATAAAAGAGCATCATTACAGCCCCTTTGGGAAGCAAAATTTGGAGATTTGGTCTGATTCAGATGAATATTATGTTTATATAATTTGTAATAATATTGAAAATGTATGTGGAACTGGTCTCAGCTAAATCTTGGGAACAATCTTACTATTTGTTTATTTGCTTGCCTGCAGAATTTATAGGCTGTTTTAATGAACTACCCTAACTAATGTTCAAACATCCCTCCCCAATATATAATTTGGGCTAAAACAAATATTTTTGTCAAATATGAATAGTCACAAAATCTCACAAAACATAACTTTGGGTAGCAGTAACTGTTTGTTACAGACCAATCTGATACTATAATAACAGCAGTCGGACCTTCACTAAAGGTACACGGATAGGGCATTGGGGTTGAGATTAAGGAACTGAATGTAAGACTGTTATAAGACAACGGTTCTATGGACCCTGACGGTGGCCCACTTATTGTCCCCTGCCCATTACTACCATTATATTATGGCCTGTCTATTCCCCTATAACAGTTTCATTTCCCAAATCAAGCCCGGCCAAGACCCAGGACCAGAAAGCCAAGTCTCCTCATCATACTTCTCTATGGGGGTAAGCTAGCCATTTTGAAGGGGTTTAGCTCCAATATTTCTGAGCACCAACACCACTCAATCCTCTCTACTCCACACACTTCCACTCACACCCCCCATGTTAAAGCACATTCAGACACCTAACTAGATATAGCCTCTCTCCTCCACTACTAGCAATAGGAGACCTCCCCTCATTAATCTCTCCCCAATTCCCCAATTTCCTCCTTCCCAGCTCTCACCCAGAGGAGAAATTAATCATTCAGGCACTCAGTATAGGTTGAGCCATGTTGTCCCTTCCCTTCCCTCCCCTCTCTCTCCTCCCTCCCCTCACTGCCTCCTTCCTTCCTTCCTTCCTTCCTTCCTTCCTTCCTCCCTCCCTCCCTCCCTCCCTTCCGATTTCCTCTCTCTTTCCCTACCCTACCCTTATTGCTACCAGGGAGCAGGCCAGGTGAAATACATATGAATATTAAAATGAAAACCAAACATTGTAAAGAACCATATGAAACAATATTTATATCACAAAAATAGCCTTCATTGTCTGGAAAAACGGCACAGCTGTCTTGTATTATTATTTAAAAGACTTCTGTCCTATTCAGTTGATTGCTAAAATTAAAGAGGAATGTGCCCTCATTGTTTGGTGGCTTTGCCTAATAAATAAATTTTGGTTTCTCTCAGATTGTCTTATGGGTTTGTATATGCATATTTTTGTAATATACAGTAAAATATAGCATTAAAATTAATAGAGGAATTGCTAAGATGGGTGAGATATATAATGAAGTGGTAATGGGATCTTTTATTTAATCCACTAACCACTTCCAGAATGGCATGTCCCCATCTTGGCCTTAGATCAACTGGCAGAGCCAAGTTTTAACACCCTTTCGAGAAAGCCAAGTGGGTGGGGAGGGGGGCAGATCTCATTGTAAGAGGTACAACGTTCCAGAGGCCAGGACCCATAGCAGAAAAGCACTTTTCTCCTGGACTTTGCCAACTGGAATTCCTTGGTCAATGAGGTTTGCAGCATGCTCCTTCTGCCAGTACAAACGGCAATTTTTCTAACACATTTATAAAAAAGCACAAAAAATGCATGTTTTATAATACATTTATTATTCACAAAAATACCAGGCTTCGATTTTTTTTTTTTTTGTTGAATCAATATATTTAAATTAGAAGTTTCTACGGCATCTGGACCAAATTGGAAGATCTGCATGTGTTGCCATATATTGCCATTCAGTTTTAGGCAACCTAATTTTTCCCTACATTGCTTCAATTTGAAAGAAAGGAAATTAGCACAATTGGGACATCTTCTGGACATGTTCTGTATAACATTTCACTTCACAATAGAAATGAAAGCAAAGTTCAGAGAAAGAGAGAATGCAACTGCATAAGTATTAGGTCACATTCTGTAACATTGATCAGTAATCTGAACAGAGGAGGTATTGTTTTGAACTGTATAGAAGCATCCTAATTTCCACAAAGACATCAGGAGTACTTGACATAAAAGAACAGAGTAAAACTATTCATGTAGCAACTCTTCACAAGCATTTTAAAAAAGCATTTTAAAACACATTTAGATTTATCAGATAACTGAACAGGCCAAGGAGAAATGAACAACTGAAAATGAGGACAAATGGGAGCAAGGGAAGAAGGGCAGAGGGTTTAATCTTGGCACCTTCAACAAAAATGATAACAAAACTGCAAAAAAGTGCTTAGCCCTATATGTATAAAAATTACTTTTCCAGTATCAGAAAAACTTTTCAATTGTGATATTTTTATAGCAAAATGTATTTTCAAGAACATATGCTAGCAATAATATCTAATTGACAATGCACCATAAAATTGCATGATGAGTCATGTGATCTGTGGACTACTGTGATCATAGATCATCCAGTAATCATGGATCATAGAAGAGGTTGGATTGAAGTTGATTGCTGGAATCTGGAAATAAATAATGTAAAGCTAGCAGCTGAGTTGGTTGACAGATTAGGGAAAGAAAGAAGCAGACAATTAATAAGGTAATAATACACTTACAGTAAATCTGAATGATTAAAAACTCCAAAATACTGAAAAAGCTGAATAATATTTGATTTTAAGGTTATGCCTGCTGGACATGAGGACAAAAAACAAGAACCAGTTTTACTTTTGCTAGACATCTGATAATCCTAATCAGGTTTTACCTCAATTGCTTAATGTAATAAATTTAAAAACTATTCAAGCAGAAATAAAAAAAAAATACCATATTTTAGCATTTTACTAATCTAAATTGTTTTGCATGTGTATGTGTCTGTCTTAAGTATTTACACATATTCACCTACACTTATATATGCAGGGTATACAGGGTGCTCACATCACCCAGGAAGAACCAAACTAAAAAACGGTCATATGTTTTAGATGTTCATCAGCTGCTCCTTTGATGCAAAATAACAATTACAGCCCATCCCCACAGATTTCTGAAATTAACCTCCATTTTTTCTTACACATTCTTCGCTAGCTATATTCCACCGATTGGCTATATAAAGAGAATATATTTGGAACCCATTAGTTCTCTCAGTGTTCATTTAAGCCCCCTCATCCTGTCACGGCCCTGATGGAGGTGAGGGGAAAGAGACAAAACTATTTGGCTTTCTGCAGAGTAGGACAGGAGGGGAACTCTTGTCAACATGCATAAATACAGTAGCGAGGATACCGTTTCTTTGAAACGCCAATTTTGCTTTCTCTGATCTTGAAGAAATTAATCTCCCTCAAAAGGGAGATTATCTGTGACAGTAACACTGTAAAGCTTAAAGTGGAACTGTAAACCAGTCTTCTGTAGCAGCTTTTTAATGGAAGTATTTCTTTTATAATTTAAGCAGTTGACAAGTGATTGATTGCTCTTTTAGGATACTCCAGTAGCCCATCCATTACCAAAGGGAAGATGCATAGTCCTACCTTTTTGCCAAAAAGTTTGAACAGAGTCCTCAATTTTAAGATCTTTGGACTTTTATTGCCGAGTTTATTTCTCTCCCATCCTTACTCTGTAATTCCTTATTTATTTCTGCTCACTGAATACGGTACAATAACAAGGATGTTATCTCCTTGATCATAGGATGTCACAAGCATCTGGGTACCTAGTGTTGTGGAATACATTTTTGTAGGGACTCTTCACCATAAGAATTTGGTCTGCTAGGGATAGGAAAGATGTGTTGCTTTGAGATGTTCAATTCTAGAGTAACAAATTATTTCAATAACGCAAGCACTTTAAATAAACTGTTAAAATCTGTTTCACCTAGGGTATTTCCTCTGAAGCAAAGGACAGAGGGCATAGCCGTGTAATTGCAAAATTATATTCTCCAAGTGATTTACTAACTAATTATTTTGTACTGAGGCTTTAATTCTTGATCATTAGGATTTTCTTATGCATCTTAATGGTTTAAAGAGTGTAGCAGTATTTAAAAAAAAATGTAAATTATAATTCATTTGATGTGAAACTTCCTTAATTGAAGAGGATAGAAGATTATTCATGCAGATGGGGACAAGGATCGGTTATATCTCTAAAAGGAGGAGCCTATGAATGCAAAACTACATAACTGAAAGACACACCGATTTTCTTCATCTTATTTGCCAGAGAGAAGCTTGTCAATGTATTATGTATTATTATTAAATTTATACCTCCCATCTTGCCTAGAGGCTTACAACCAAGAACAAATCAACATGATAAAATAATGAAATAATTAGAATAAATATTAACATTAAAATTTGACTTAAAACTAACAGACATGGCAAAGTAGGGAGCATGTTCTTATGGGAAAGCCTATGGCCTTGAAAGAGACTTATTATGACTCTTCCTCACCCTATTTGATACTTGGAAATCTCCATACTTCACTTTTTAGGGAAGATTCTTGGCAACTTGATGGTGAATTACATGTAAAATTGACTTTAGTTTCTCTTTGATCTTGTTCTGCTTAAACTGCAATATAAAGCTTATTTATAAATGAAAGTGTACTTGGATATCTTTTGTAAAAACCAGGAGGAAACTATAGCATTAACATTAAGCCATTGTTCTTTGATTTGGCCAGCTTAATTGACCAGAACCAAGGTGCAGTGTGTGATGGCAGTAAATAAGAAGGGTGAATGGGTGAGTGAAGAACTGCTTCTGATCCTTTGGTATGCCGACTGGGTCCAAGAGGATGTACCTTTTCCAACAAAGTTCTGTAGACATAGGGGTGTCCACAAGGTATGGTTAAAAGGAAATCAAGATGGCAGCCACAAATCAAATCAAATCAAATCTTTATTGTCACTGCACAACATGTGTACATTGAATTTGAATGAGCCTCCCTTTGTGCAACTCTCCCGAAACACAAAATACATCTCAATAATTCAATAAATGAAAGAAATAGAATCCCTATATCCAAATAAGTAATAACTAATACATATTCCCATATACCTTTATGTATGTAACATTATATTATATTACATCGGTATGAACATGTTGCATGTTGCACTGGCCCTGCAAGTCTATCATATTAAATCTAATTGTGCTGTTATGTTGCATTCAGAAGTCTGACAGCCCACAGATAAAAGCTATTTTTCAGCCTGTGCATTTAGCTGACTATGCTTCTATATCTCCTGCCCAATGGTAGGAGAGTAAAGAAGTGCTGACCAGGGTGTGAATTATCCCTGAGGATTTTCCTCACTCTGTTGAGGCAGGGGGTCCTGGTGATTTCGTCCAGTAATGTCAGGGGACAACTCATAATTTTTTGTGCTGTGTTCATTACCCTCTGTAATGTCTTTCTGTCCGTGGCTGTCAAGCCAGCATACCATACCATAACACAATATGTAAGGATGCTTTCTATTGTAGACTGGTAAAAGGAAGTCATCAGTCATTGTTCCATCTGATTTTTCCACAAGACCCTAAGGAAATGGAGTCTCTGTTGAGCCTTCCTGACCACCTGGATCATGTTATTTTTCCAGGTGAGATCTTGGTTAAGATGGACTCCCAGAAATTTGAAAGAGGAGACCCTCTCCACACAGCCCCAGTTGATGTAGAGTGGGGCAGGTTCCTCTCTCTGCTCTGGAAGTCTAACACCATCTCCTTTGTCTTGCTGATGTTTAGATGCAAGTTGTTTTCTGAGCATCATGTGGATAACTTCTGGACTTCTTCTCTGTATGCTAATTTGTCTGCTCCTGTGATAAGACCCAGTATGGTGGTATAATCTGCAAACTTTATTATCACATTAGATGGATCAGAAGATAAGTAGTACGAGTACAGGTAGGGACTGAGCACACAGCCCTGAGGAGAGCCAGTGCTGAGCTTCAGGGAGGAGGATGTGAAATAATAATAATAATAATAATAATAATAATAATAATAATAATAATAGTAATAATAATAATAATAGTAATAGTAATAATAATAATAATAATAATAATAATAATAATAATAATAATAATAATAATAATAATAATAATTTTATTTCTATACCGCCCTTCTCCCGAAGGACTCAGGGCGGTGTACAGCCTATTTAAAAACACAAGACAAACATCAATTTAAAATTTAAAATTATTAAATAAATTTGGCTCCATTTAAAACCCCAGAAATTTAAAATACCCCAATTTAAAATTATCATGTCGATAGCCCAGCCTGGCGGAACAACAGGATCTTCAGTGCACAGCGAAATACCCGGAGGTCGGGGATCTTACG